AAAGAACGATAATAACAAGAAAAGCATTACAAGATGATAATGATGATGAAGATGATACACATGTGAATAGTGAAAGATGATTATGATGAGAGATTCATCTTTGTACAGATGGATGAGATGAGATGCTTTCCTCTTCGTTTCACTTCTTTTTTTTGCATTTTTGTTCTTTCACTTTTTTCTTCTCTCCTTTTCTGCTCTTGTCCGAGGAAATGAAAGGAACCAGAAAAAAAAGAGTAAAAAAGTTTGCTCCAAATTTCCATTTTTCATTATCATCGACAATCATCATCAAGGATTAAATTGCAAAGGCCAAAGAGAACGGCCATTGTGACCTATTCATCTTTCACTTGTTACCCTAAAAGGCCTTTGAGGTTACAGTAAATGTTAATATGATACTCTTGTTGTTAACTACAAATTATTGGTGTAATTTGCTTCTCTTGTTATTGTAACATTGAGATTCCTCTGCTTACAATCGATTCGACATATTTCCTTGCCTCTGACATTTCCATCATTTTTCATCTTTATCATCTTTCTTCGTCTTTTCTTCCTCTTTTTTTTCTTGCTTGCTTCAAAGTGAAAATATTGCCAATCAAGATCTGAATGCAATGAATGCAGTGACCAAATTTCTTGGTATTTTTCTCCTTTTTCTTTCTTCCCATTCCTTGTGATGCCCATTATTATTGCCTTGGGTGTTGCATAGTTATTACCAGAGATTGAATCATCAATAAAAGAAATGTATCAAAACCAAAATGAGATAAAAGATACAATGGCACGAGTCTCTTTGATTCACATTTTTGCTCTACTCTGGATTCCTGGAATAATGTTTTACACTTGAATGGACCTATTATTATGGAGATAAATATGTTGACCATTTAAGCATATTGTCATTGTAAGCAAGAATCTGATAAAGGAAAAGACGATTAAGCCAACATCCAAAGCAGCAAATGTAAATTAAGCAAATTCAATCCGATCAAGTGAAATAAGGTGATCAGAAGGGATTCACGTTAAAGGGTCAAAATAACCAAAAGCTTTGCAAGAGATAAACTAAACTGATTTAATTTAAAGGTCAATATACGCAATCCAAATTTACAGATAATAATAATAATAACTTAATAACTTTGAATGTTGAGGATTGATTTGTATTGAAGAGTGAATATTAGGGAAACTTACATTATTTCCTTCCAAATCGAAATGAGTGAAATTCAATGTTATCCTGAATTGTGGTGGAGCAACAATTTCCCAGATGCAGTTCTTGTTGGGTGGATAAAGATCAGGAAATGATGGACTGACCAGAGTTCCATTCAATAGTTCAATTAAACCACCGCAAGCATTTTCACACTTTTTCCCATCTGAGTGAAGCTCGTATCCAATGCGACACTCACATCGATAACCGCCTAATGTGTTAACACAAATATGGTCACATCCATGGTTACCTGAGGAACATTCGTCGAACTCTTTGATAAAATTGGCTGAAAAACCAGCCTTTTGGACGGACGAATCAGATACAAATTTGATTAAAAGTTTATTGCTTGTCGATCTTATATCATTTGGAATTCTGTGTCCACAAAATTTACCCAAAATGGGTGAGTTTGATAATGAATGTCCATCTCGTATCTCAAGGTAATCATAGACACAGTTGTCATGAGATTCAATCTCAAAAGAGGAAAATTTAAGGGCAACTTGATATTTCTCTGGAACAATTATCTTCCAAATGCATTCCTTGTTGGGTCGATAGTCTTCCGGATAATTGGGACTTTGAAGGGTTCCTTCTTCACTAACAATATCACCACCACAAATCGCTGAAAAACACAAAAAAACAAAAAAACAAAGATAAATATACAACTGTAAACTTATCAAATTGATTGAAAAAGAAATATTAGAAAGTCGAAAAAAATTCAGAAATCTTTTCATAAGGTCCAAGCTTCAAGTTATAATTCAATAAATCTCAATCCAACAGACTATTCGGAGCAAAGGAAACTATTTGTTCAACATCAAAAGATCAATCTTAAGAAAATGTCTTTCTAATTCAATATGCAATCGAAGCAATAGTTTATGCAAATCAAACGAAATCTCAATTCTAAGCAAAAAGAGATTGAATAGTGAACTGTTCAACTTCCCTTGACGTACTTTAAGATCTACTGATCAGAGTTCTAGATCGAAGTATAATCTTGTCAGAAACGATGGAAACATGTGATGGAAACAATGAGATGATGTCTCAATGAAAGTCTAACAGCATTCCAGATGATAATGATTATGAAGATGATACACATGTGATCAAGATATCGATACACAGAATCTTACCTTTAAGACTAAATGATGGATCCTTGCTTGAACATGAAGCGTCAACCAGCAAAGCAATAGTATTGAAAACAAGCTGGTTGAAGACATGTTGATGCTTAAAAAATGACACTATCAAGGTGTTTATAATCAATTAAAGATCAACGTTGGATTACCAATGAATTAGATAGCGGTGGTAAATATTACAATAAATATGAAAACCGATAGAAAGAGGTTTCATCACCTGGTTTTCTAGAAAATCTAAAGGGTGTTGAGGTTAGTAAGGTTCAAGCAATCACTAACCAAAATGTTGATAAAGAGATAATGATGATAAAATGAAATTGTCTAATCGTCTTCGTCTTCATCAACCATCTTTGCCATTGATATTTTCATTTTTATCATCTTTATCTCCTTATCAACATTTGCATAAGCGATAGCTTGAACCTTACGAACCTCAACACCCTTTATGTTAAGGAAGAGGTAAAATAGAAGATAAACAAAAAGAAAAGGTAATCAAAAATAAAATAACCAAGCTAATTGATTAATATACGTGATAATATCAATTCAATCATCTATATATTAATTAGAAAACTCACCTACATAATTAGATGACAGAGCGTCACTGAATTATTAAAAATACAAACATAAGATGTCAATTATTATTAGAGCAAGTTGGCTTTCTAACCAGATTCACAGTCAACTGTTTTACTCTAGTATGTGGATGCTCTATCGTACAATCTGTTATCAACTCAAACACAAATAAATGCTTCATGTTTAAACCAATTTGCAGAATATTAAAGGCGTCAACATTGATTACATGTGATTTTTGCCAATATTACAAATGAAAAGCAGATAATGAGTTATTAATTTATGTAATAAAGTAGATAATTTTTTCATCAGTTACACCAAATATTTTTTTCAGAGAAATTTTCTTTGAAATTTTTCAATCTTAAAATTTTATCGGAAATTTCATCAGATTCTCAATAATCTAAGTTTAACATAACAATTCTTACTCAAATAAGATTTTTTTAAGAAATTGTTTATCAAGCTAATAAATAGTTACCAATATCTTAATTAGGTTTGTCGTTAAAGGAACGTGCTAACGGCACGCTGCAATGATATTAATAAAAGCCATGTTTCGGTAGAGGTGAGACGGTTAGGACTCAGGGTCCTACTAATAATAACTAACAACCAATTCGATAATAAAATGAGTTTTTCAACTTTTTAAGCCTTTTAAAACATAATATCAACCATAAGATTTAATTTAGTGAACTTTTGACAATTTAAAAAAACACAATATTAAAATTAAAATAACAGATATTTTTGAAATTTGCAATCTCTCGAAATATTTACTCCTTTTCTGATTGGGAATATATGAAAACAATTGAAAGAAGTCATGGAAAAAAATTAATTCAAAGAGATGACGTATCTTAAAAATATGACAATAATTATTATTTTCACATCAGAACAAAAATTTGCAAATTTGATTCCATGAGTAACTATCGAGTTCAAATAAATTACATTTATTATTTATCTTCTTCTAATGAGTACAATTAACTTCGATTAAATTATTTTTTGCTTTTTAAATGGATATGCAATCTTTAACGCAACGATCTAATAGCTTGAAAATCAAAACACCCAATTTCGAATGCTGGCTCAGTTTAAGAGTAAAATTTCGTACATTTTATGCACGCAGGAAGCGATCTCGGTGACTCTGGATTTAACAGATAATTGTATATCTGGACTACCGGGTTGAATCTTGAGCTCAGCGAGGATCCACATATTATTAGTTAATTTGAACGATTGGTATAGCATATCGTTTCCTTCAACAGTTCGTTTAGCAATTGTAAAAACGTTATTGGATTGTAGTTTGGATGAAATAGCATCAGCATCAAGGTTAACACCATTAATGGGAAACTGCAATTCATTCTGAGATGGAATCTCTTTCCAGGTGGACAAGAAAACGCGTTTATCCATGCTACCATCTTCAACACAGTAAACATGCAATGGTACAACTGCACTGAAGTAAAATATTCCGACGTTGTTTTTTACTGCAACTTGAAGGTTTGTCAATGGATTCATTTTTTGAACAGGCCCATTGGTGCTCAAAGGTAGACTCGCATCTGAGGATAAATTTGGTTGGAGGGGTGTTTGGACAGTCAATGGTTGACCAGGAGCCAAGCCAAAGCTGTTCTTGTTAAACTGTATAGCAAATCCTGTCATGGATTGCATTGCTCGGTTAACAAAAGTCATCTCCATATGAATTGCACCATTACGACGAGTGAATGTCCCTGATAGTTCAAGGCCTTTACCATCAGTAGCTGAGAGCCAAAGCTACGAAATTGACAAAAATATGAATTAAATAAAAATTGAAAAATATTTACAAATTAAAAGAATAAATTATACTAACCTCTTTAGGTGGGGTGAAAAAGGTACTAGTAACTGGAATGCCAAATATATCACCAAGAAGTCCAGAAGTTGAAGAGACTGGAACAGGTGGAATGGGTACAGAGGCAGTTGGTGGGAATGTTGTGCTGGGCACTGGAGGAGCTGGTTGTGAAATATCATTACCACCCAAAAGTGTGTCTAAACCACCTCCAAGTATATCAACATTGGAATAACTGTTAATTGGTGAAGTAGTGTAAGTTGGTTGAACGGGGGGAGGATTAAGCTCGAGGCTGAGAAGATCACCAATGAGAGTTTCCTGTGATGGGATTACGGTAGGTTGCTGTTCGTTTGTAGCGTTAGACAATTGGCCATCATCGCCGGATCCTGAACGAGGATTAAGACTTTTTCTGAGACCAGTTTTACCTTCAACGAAGGCTGAAGGAGGCTTATGATAAACTGAAGCTAGACTTCCAATATGACAAATCAGCTCGTCGAGCAGAGTTGGTTCCAAAAGATCAGTTTCTTCAGAAATCAGAGGCTTCTCGGCCAGGACAACTTCTTTAGCAGCAGCTGGATCAGTTGATAGTAGACGCCAGTAAATGAAACCTCGATCACGGAGATCTGGGTTGTCACTGTCCTGTGTAGCTAGACTGAGAACTTGTTGGACTACTTCTTGAGTTTCAGTAGGTCTTTTCAAGAAAAGTTTGACAATAGCTGTAAGTAATGATAACTGAACTTGGGCATTTTCATCATGGAAACCTTCAAGGAAATTTTCCAACAGCTCATCTGCATTATCGATACGTTCGGCATATTCACCGATAATCCATATCATCGAAGCTCGGGCCTCTGGTTCATCTAATGTGTCGAGATTTTCACAGAGAGTGGAAATGATACTCTCATACTTGTTAGGATATTTTCTGAAGATATCTTTAATCACAACAATTGCCTCCTGAACAACATAATTCACCTTTGTTTGAATGAGATCTAACAAAGTAGCAACACACCTCTCCGCTGATTGTTCAACTTTGATAGCACAACGACCAATTGCTCGTACAGCTTTACGAACAAAATCAACGTCAACTTCGGTCGCATACTCTTTTAGTTCAGCAAGAACTTGAGTAATATTTGCTTGAGAAGCCAATCTTATCATGATGTCGAGCTTTTCCAATTTAACATAGATTGGATCATTATATTTAACAAAGAAAACCTTCATTTCATGTTTCAGAATATCTGGTCTCTTTTGAACAATTAAATTGATATTTCTGAGAGCTACGTACTGTACTTCAGGTTCACTGGAAAGTAATGTAACCAATGGGGGAGCCAATTTCTTCGTAAGGGTTGAGACGAATTCAGCATCATTCATTCTCTCCATAAATTTCATTAAAACTTTGACCGCACTAAGGACAACAGCAGCATTTGCATGAGCTAATCTTGGAGTAACTCGCTCACAAATACTCTGGGCTTCACGATCATCTTTAGTTGAATAATTTGCCAAAGCATCCAAAATGAAAACCTGTCCCCATTCAGTACATTCATTAAGTGCTGTGAGCAGCTTGTTGATTGTTTGAGAATTAAATTCAACCAAAGGTTGACCAGTGCTTGATGCTTCATTAATTTCAGACAGAGCAGCGACAGCATTAGCAACAACCATAGGATTGGAATCTGAAAGAAGTTCTCGCAATAAATCAAGAAATCCTTGCTCTTCTACCATAGATGCATTAATGTCATGAAGCTTGGCTACGCAAACAGCCGCAGTTTTTCTCACATAAGGATCTTCATCTCGTAAACATTTCCTCAGGGGTTCAGTTAGATATTCAGTGATCTTATCAACCCGAATACAACCCATCGTTCGAACAGCAAGTGCTCTGATCAATGGATTTGGATCATCACAATCTCGGACAAATGTGTTGACTGCCATGATTGCCATATCTGGTTGACTTTTAGCATAATTCATGAGGTATAGATAAACTAATTTTTTGAGCTCCAAATTATCCGTTTGCATACAATTGACTACATCAGGAAATAGCGAGGAAACATCTTTACCCACTGTCATAGATGCGATGACCTTTTTCACGGCTTCCCTTCTTTTCTCTTTTTTATCACTATTCAGTTCTCCTTTTAATTCAAATAGTTCACCTCTTTTGGTGTTTGCAAAGTATTTGGCATCAGTCATCTTGATGAATCAAAACTGTTCGAGTTATGAGAAGAAAATGGAGAAATGGAGAACGTTAATCAAGACCTAAAAAATCAAAAACTGGACACAATTGATAAAAAAAATTACAGTAAAGAAAACAATCAGGTTGACAGTAAGCAGCTATTAGATTTAAAAGGTAATTTGGTTAAGCTTTGGCTTCCTTTGGGAGGCGTTTCCTACCCTAAAAAAACCTTGATTCTAATTTCATGAGATGGCGTTACTTTTGTTTCTCTCGTTAATTTTGGTATCTTGTCAATATTATTTAACATGTAAATTACATAATTTTTATCTAATAAAGTAAATTATTATTGAAATATTTGGTCTTAATCAACTCCTATTTACAATATTTGAAACTATTAATTCTTAATTTGACCCAGAGTGCTATCTAATTTGTTTTATTTAAACCAATGTGACTAAAACCGACTGTGTTGGTCAAAATAAGTGTGAATTTACTGTAATACAGTAAGCTACCAGATAATGAGAATACCAGATAATGAGAATCAATTTTTCAACGACCCCTCAATAGAAGAGTTAAATCAAATTCAAATTTCCTTTAGATTTCTTTGATTATTAATTAACTAAATCCAATTTTAAAGGTAATTTGGTTAAGCTTTGGCTTCCTTTGGGAGGCGTTTCCTACCCTAAAAAAACCTTGATTCTAATTTCATGAGATGATCAAGAAAAATAAGTTGCCCGGCGAATAGTGTAAATAAGCTATTTCAAGGTATTCTCATTATCTGGTAGCTTACTGTAAAGTAAATTATTATTGAAATATTTGGTCTTAATCAACTCCTATTTACAATATTTGAAACTATTAATTCTTAATTTGACCCAGAGTGCTATCTAATTTGTTTTATTTAAACCAATGTGACTAAAACCGACTGTGCTAAAGTGTAAACATTACCAAACCGTTAGATTGTGCGTTCAATTATTTAAAGTTAACGTTCTAAACTTTAACCAGAATAACATTTTAAAATTCAATCTGAATTAATAGCTCAACTGTTAGATACTGGATGGTAAAAATAGTGATCAAAAGAGCCTTTCAATAAAATCAATGTCAAATATTAATACATCATGTAAATCATTTGCTATTCACTAATCAAAACCTAAAATCTTCAATTTACATACAGCAAGATGAGTATTTTTATTTATCGATTCCCAATTAAATCTCGAAGAAATTTTTTATGAAAATGATTAGTAAAATAGCGAGGTCAATCCGATTCACCCAAGTCACTAAATCGAGAATAGATTTGTAAAATCAATCAATATTCACCTAACCAATTTGTAGACAAAAGCAAAAGAAAAACAAATCTAAAAAGTACAACCTTAACCGATTTTAATCGCTTAATCCACCCAGGCTATTTAGATCTTTTGATTGGTAATTAGATTCTCTAGCTATTATTAAGCTGTGATTTCTGCTTAATCTCAGTCAAATACTACTAAGATTGTAAAAAATAATAGTCGGTCAAAGTCTCTTATCAAATCTAAAGCCTTCATCTTGAATGAACAATAGATTGACCGAAAACAAAATGTAAACTATTTCCAGATCTTTATTGACAGTCAATAACTTGATTCGTTAAAATAAGTAACCCTCATCAATGTTATATTTTTACCATTTGATGGTCAGTTGATTTGTTCCAGTTTTCTATTGTCAATTAGAGATGAAAACAACGATTAATGCCTCTTTAAAGCCAACACAAGAAAACACCTTCAATTTGTCGATAAAATTAGAAATGATATTGTTGGAAGGTTATTATAAAAATCAACTTGATTGATTTATCGTTTAATCACACCCATAAAGACCATTTATCAAAGCAAGATGATAAAGATGATTTAAATTGAATACAAATCTGAAAAGAACCCGATTTTGCCAACAAACCTATCCGAAAACACTGGCCATTAAAGGCCTAAACATCTCCCATTACATGTTGAGATACTGATGTTTTGTGATCGATAATGATAACAATACCGATGTTAAATGTTATTCAAGTTACAGGAAACAAAAAAAACACCCTAATTGATCGGAAAACAATCAAACAGTACGCCAAATCCTATCCAGTTAAATGATAACAAGTGTAAGGTAAAAAGGTGAAATACAAATAATATTAAAACAAATCTCGGAAGTAATCAATTGCAATTTGGTTTATTCAGGACAGTCCAGTAGGAAGCCAGCTTATAAAGACAGCTTCTTCACCTTATCGCCTTCCTCATCACCATCATCATCACCAACATCATAATCTTGCTCTCTTTTCATCTTCACTCTCACTTTGCTACTATTCTGGTCAAGGGGCTGGTTAATTTGAGCGGGAGTCGGTTATGCCTTGAAGCCAAATTCACTATAAATTAGTCGGGTTGATTAGTGTTAAACTTATTATTATAATAATATCCAAATAATACTTTTTTTGTTGTTTTTCAGTCAATCAGAATCTATGAGAATCTTAAGCTTCCTGTTGACAGTTGTTAAAGAGTAAAATTCATGATTATCAAATCTGGATCAAGTTTCTAATCAAATTTACATTCAATTCTTGTTTTTGTTTATCGTCCATTTTTCAACACAATTTCAGGTATAATCGAGTCAACTTATTTCGTGGCTTAACCAGTTGTTTAGCGATCGTTCTTGTGATCAGTTGTTTTTGCATCTTGCAGTGTTTTCATCAGGAGAAACCGAGTTACACTGATTTTTTCAACGTTTTGTGTTTTGTTTAACTATCAAACCTAAGAATTTTAATCAACAATGAAATTGACCATAATTTTCACCTTCATCATCTCAACTTTGCTGGCCTTCATGTCCCTCAGGCTACCCAGCTGTTCATCATCAGCCTTTATTTTGGGTAAAAATAAGATCTTCAAGAGTCGACCCTTCTTTTCACCTTTGATCAATCGAAAGACATTCATCTTAGCTTTTCCCAAAACTTACAAATACAAACCTGGAATAAGATTACTTGGTTGATTGTCATGTTAATGACATTTACAGGGTAAATTAATGTTTACTTTATCAACTTTTGTGTCAATTTCACCATAATCTCCAAATATTTTAATTGTTTCAAAGATTCAACCATCAAAATGGTAAGATTTTTTAATTTTTGTTATTCTCACAAATTAGTTTCTCGTTAATAATGTATCTGTACAAAATGATAATAATAATAACTTGTAACAAAATTATCTTCAATCAATTCTAAATTCTGTACAATCAACCTGAAACTAAAAATTAAAATGAAATAAAGTCAATAATTGTTATTATCTATACATGAATATATTTAAAATTTGATTATCTCTTATTGCTGCCAGACCATGTGTTTTGAATGGATTGATGAATAATTTGGATTGAGATTAGTTGAAAATCGCGTAAAACGTAACGAAATCCTAATAGGTTGAAGACGATCGCTGGAAAATGTGAATTAAGTAATAATAGGCAATAAGTAATATTATATTGCAATATAATATACTAAATGATTGTCATTAAATATCTAATGGATACTATTAAAGGGTGATTCCTTTTTCGCTTAATCGTAAACGTAGACAATTAATTTGCTTTAAGGCTATAACCAAGGCCTTGGATGAAGAGACGCAAAGCTTCGGCCACTTTGCCTGGCTGTTCCTCTAAAGGCATTCCACAATCAGATAATTTCATCCATTGAGATTGTTGAGGGTTAAGACGGCTGTTCATATAAACTGTATCTTCAATATGCGGAGAGTGAAAACTGGTTAATAAAAGTACAGGACATTGAAAGCTCTGTTTATCAGACCCACGGACCAATCCAAGATCTGTTCGAGCCAAAAAGGAACTGATAAATAATGCCAAATTGTGAGGATGGATATTTTTCTCGGAAAAATATGAGCGAAGTTGAAAGATTAAATCTTGATTACGATTTTCATCAATGGTACCAAAATGATGCCACAATAGGTAATCTGAAACAGCTACAGGAATTAACGATCCAAGTCCAGAAGCATCTAAATTTTTAAGATAGTGGATATTTAAATTTTGATAACCCCATTCTGACCATGAAGCTACCGTGGATGTACAGTCAATCAAGAATAGGCCATCAACAAAATCTGGATAACGAAGGGCAAAACGAGATAAAATGTTGGCTCCAGCGCCTGTTCCTAGACCAATGAAATGATTTATCTCAAAGTGTTTACATATTGCACCAATTTGATCAGCCATTTGGTCCATTGTTGGATAATGGAGATCATCACTGTATCGAGCGCCTTTATCCTCTTGTCCAGGAGCATTAATATGGATAACTAAAGATAAAAAACATCGGAATTTAGTAAACTGATAGATTCAATGATTTAATACGCATTCATATTAAAACAGATACTCGAGTAAACATCAGAAACCTACAAAACTCGATTAACAACTTTGGATTTCCAATGGATTGGCTGGGAATCTAGTTACAATGATCAATAAGACGTAAAATGGTTAAGCCAATTATTGCCATAACTGGATAATTTTTGTCTATTACTTTGAAACCCAAAAACTAATACGATCTAAATCAAAGCAAAAGACAAATCTATCTAACAAATGAAAAAATCTGTAGGAACATTCACATTTACTGTTTAAATATCTGACATGAAATAAAGGTCATCCAACTTACCTGAGAACTTAATTAAAATAGGTTGAACATCATGGTGGTTGAAAAATGATCGGAAATTGGAGGAACCGTTTAGACCAATATCATGGTAAGTAATTATTACTGGTCTCTTAGGTGAAAGATCAGCTCCTTCTTTGAAAACTTTAACAACACCATACATAGTCTTGATGGGAATCAAATTGGGAATGAAGCTAAGACGGTGAAAACTTGGATCACCTAATTCAATATCTTCAAACCCTCCACCACCGCTAACACCTTCTTTAGATTTACTCATGGTTTTTATCCTGTATGAATCCAAATCAATCGATTAATGTGTGGATTAATTAACGTTACAATATATCACTTTCCAAAAGAGTTATGGCTGATCTCGACGGTGAAAGCCAATAGATAAAAACAATCTTCAATCTGGTGTAATGTATTCCAAGGATCACTTGTTTGTGAATGAGGATAGGATTACGCAGTTAATCATTGATCAGGTAAAAAAAGAAACACAGTATTCATGTTCCTGTATACAACATAATGTTATAATGATGATTATGTTTTTAGAAATAAAATCAATTGTTGAGGCAAAAAACGATGTTCCCAATTCTTGATTGATTAAAGATGACTATACTGTTTCTCTCCAATGAAGACGATGAGATGAGTTTTATGTATTTATCGGGTAGCACGAATAAAATTTTTTATTTCACTTTTTTATATCAAATTTTCAGTCAACTATTGAACTGTCAATCGTATATAAGATGATAAATACCATGAAATGATGAAAAACGTTGAGTTTTTGCTTAGTTGTTTGACCTTCCTTGGCTTTATTTACTATCGATTGAATGGAGAAAGAAATAAATCTTTACATTAATTGATCCATTACATTAGATTTATGAGATAAATCAACAATTAAAAAGTACAGATTCCATTGATTAAACTACATTGGTACGAAAGTTGAACAATGATTAACTTAAATAATCACGAGATTCTCACGAATGTACAACATTAAATAAAAGCTAAACAGACTGTCAGCTTGTCTTCATGCGCTAACAACCACTATTTATACTGCAGTCACATCTTCCAATGGTGAATCGCAAAATTTAGATCATCAAATGAATTATTTAAAGCTCCATTTTTAAATTTTAAAAACATTAACATAGAATCAAAATTAGTTTCTTAATTAACCAATTCGCCAGTCTTGTTAGTTTGATTAAATCTAGCTATTTGGATGTCTTTACAATCATTGTTTTCAATATTTTCAATTCAATCTTCGCCATTAGCAAATGAGTCTGTATTGATCTTGGGTGTGGATTGATCTTACAATTATGTTTCAATTTTTGAATATGTTCATTGATTATATTCTTTGTTTACACACCATTCCTTTATTGAGTTTTTCATTTTAGATTGTAATAATTTACATAATATCGAGCTGTGAAACCATCATGGAACACTTGATTCTGTAGCAATAGTTAGATCATTTTTTACCTTAATTTCAGTAATCAATAGTTTACTGATTTAAAAATTAATCCATCTGAGTAAAGCCAATTTAAGATAAATTACACTCGTATCAATATTTCAACGCAAAATAAAAGATCCATCAAACCATTAATATTAGCCATTTGAAAGATTCCACTTTCAATTTAAGGTGATTCACCTTCCTTCATCATAATCATCATTTTCCTGATCATCACTTTCCATTAATTTCGCTATTTAATGATAGTAATAATGGGTTTTGATAATCACTCACCAATTAAAACCAATGAATGTTCAGTTATTCCGTTTTGCTTTGAAAGGTCAGAGTAAAAAGGGTCAAAAGACTACGTATCATTGTTTACTAATCAATGTGTTAACGCAAAACAATCATTTACATCAACATTTCTTCATAATTCATGTTAAAATCGTCTAAAAAAATAACTGTTTTTACAGATGCATGTTAAAAAGTTTAATATCAGACTATGGCCTGAGTTCAATCAGCTATCACTTATAGTTAGATCAGCATTCAGGTTCAGTCTAGAAGCGATAATGAACAAATTCTGTGTCTTGGAATGGCGATCTTTTAAGACACTCGCAATTGTCATTTCTATGAATGTATTATCAGCTACCTTTGTTTGTAAGATGTTCATTTTTTAATCAATTGCATGATAACCCAGCTGAACAGATAAGTTTAAGTAGCTCTTTTGGATTCAATAGATGGTATTACTGATACTATTACTGGATTCTCTAAGTTTTGATGCTTCGATCAATAATATTCTCATCCTTTTCATCTTTTTTCTCCTTTTCCTTTTCTTCCCCATCTTTACTGTAAGCTCTCTTTTTATGCTGCAATAATCATAACATCAACCTAGTCATTTGAATTATTAAAATGGTTAATTAATTTTGTTGATTCTGGCTTTTAATTTTTTATATTTTGTGATTTCTGGTTCGTTTTGAAACGACTTTATCTGTTAAAGTTTGTGTTAAACATAAGTGTTTTGACCAAACCTTAAAACCGCTGGAAATATTGTGTTATAGATTCAGATTAACAACACTTTTTCAATGTTGTCAATACATTTTGAGTACATTTATCCCCTTAAATGTCTGATTAACAGTTAATTGGCTATTAATAACATGAGAAAATGTGTTATCTAAATTATACGTGATTATCTTCATCGCTTAATTCATTTTATAGCCAACTGAATCTCAAAACTACAATGGCACAAACAATTTCAACAAGACTAGGTGAATGCATTAATTTTACACCGTTAGTCTTAATCATCTTGTTTGGCCATTTAAGTTATTCCCTTGAAACATGTTATAAATTTACCTCTGCTGCTGGTGATCCTTGCAAATCACTGGAATGCTCATTTGGAGCTGAATGTATTCGTACAAGAGATGGCAAAAGAGCTGAATGTGTCTGTCCGGAAAAGTGTTATACTTATGGTGATTCAGTTGGTTCTAGACCTGTTTGTGGTAGTGATGGTCGTGATTATCCCAATGAATGTGAATTAAGACGAAAGGCTTGTGTTTCAAATAAAGAAATTTCCGTTAAATTTCAAGGAAAATGTGGTAAGTTTTCCATATCATTCATGACTATTTCACATATTTCTCATTGCAATATTTCTTAAATTGTGACTCTTATCCTATCCAAAGATCCGTGTGAGGAAGTACAATGTCCAGCTTCTCAAATATGCCAATTAGATGACAATAGGAACCCAATTTGTAGGTGTAATGCCGTAGAGGAAGAAATAATAATAATCTGTGGATCAGATGGTAAAACGTATACAAATGAATGCATCTTACGGGTTGAAGCTTGTAAAGCACGCAAAAGTCTACGTATATTGTATAATGGTGAATGTGGCTCTGGTCGAGGTAACATTACATTAATAATTACTTATCTTCAAAATTTTCACTTTTCTTCATTTTCCTTTCTTGTTTCAGCCGTGAATCCGTGTGAAAGTTTAAAATGTAGCATTTATCAAGAATGTGACATTGACCGTTATGGTATAGCCAGTTGTGTTTGCCCTCCCATGTGTCCTCAAATAATGAATCCTGTCTGTGGATCTGATGGAAAAACATATGATTCAGAATGTGAATTACGGAGAGAAGCTTGTTTACTTCATAAAAACGTAACTCTCGTCTATAAAGGATTATGCGGTAATAACATAAACATGAAAACAAATGAAAAGCAAAGACTTACCTTTTCTATAATCTTACCCTTTAGGTGAAGACGGAGCTTGTAATGGTTTCAAATGTGATTTTGGTTCAATTTGTGTTGTCCAATCAACTAATTCTCAGCCTACATGTGAATGTCAATCTTGTACTGAAGAGTATAAGCCTGTGTGTGGATCGGACGGTATCTCGTATAGTAATGAGTGTAAATTGAGAAGAGAAAGTTGTGAGCAGCAAAAGTCATTAAAAGTTATCTCGCAAGGATATTGTAGTAAGTGTACCTTTCATCATCTCTTGATTGCTTGTAATTTAATTCTTGAACCCGAATCTGTTGAAATTAATCGACTAGTCATTTGGGTTTGATTCATCTTGACTTGAATCATTCCATTTAGTAGATTAATTGTAATTTTTGCTTTTTTATATTTTTTAATGAACTCTGATCTTTTCAATGTTAATGGGTAAAAATTACTAGAATGATTTGTTTCTATTTATTTCAGATGGTTGTGAAGGAATAAAATGTGATTATCATTCTGTTTGTCAAATTGATGCCAATGGACATGGAAAATGTATTTGTATAAAAAACTGTTCCCATGTAAGTATCCAAAATGTTTTAGCTCGTGAAAAAATCGCTTCTCATTAATATTGCTTTATACAATGTATTTTCAGATCAAAATGCCCATTTGTGGGTCTGATGGTGTTAGTTATGCTAATGAATGTGAACTACGGTTGGCCTCCTGCACCAAAAAAGAGTACCTGACAATTGCTTCCAAAGGCCCTTGTGATATTTGTTTCAATGTACATTGTAAATATGGAGCTCGATGTGAAACTGGCTTATGCGTTTGTCCAAGTGAATGTCCACAAACCTACGAACCTGTTTGCTCAACTGATGGATTAACTTATATAAACGAGTGTCAAATGAGGGTTAATGCATGTCAGAAAAATGTTGAACTTGGAATATCATTTTATGGTGAATGTCAAGACAAAGGTGGACCAGAAAGTAGTGAGTTATCAATTATTGTATTTTTATAGAATCAGCTCTAATGCCTTGATTAGCAAGCTACATTAGATTTGTCGAATACTATTTTACTAAATTATTAACTTGAATCATTTATCTGTTTTCCAATCTTTTAGTTGGTTCTGGTGTTGGTTACATTAAAACTTGCGATCATAATACGTGTCGTTTTGGTGGTGTTTGTGATTATGATGCTGAAGGTGTACCTCATTGTATTTGCTCATACCAGTGTCCAACAACTAGTGGTCCTGACGATTCTGTTTGTGGTTCTGATGGCCGTCTCTATGAAAATGAGTGTAAATTACAGGAAGAAGCTTGCCGTCGTCAACAAGAAATTCAACCAGCTTTGAATCGACTTTGCGAAGACAGTAAACTCTTGCCATGTGAAGGTGAACCTCCATTGATTAACCCTTCCACCGGTAAAGAGTATTATTGCGGTGATGGTCCCGATTCAAAACAATGTCCACCCAACAGTTATTGTCATAAAAGTTCAAGGTTTGCCAAATGCTGTCGAGAAATCGCTTTAGTACGAAGTTGCTCTGATTCAACCTATGGATGCTGTTCAGATGGTGTAACTTCAGCTCAAGGAGCTGATCAAGCTGGTTGTCCATCTGTTTGCAATTGTAATAGACTAGGATCTTATTCAACATCGTGTGATCCAACAACTAAACAATGTCATTGTAAAGTCGGTATAGGTAAGCACCTGAATTAATTTGACCAATGATCGATGTCTAACTAATGAAATTTGTATTTTTAAAGGCGGCCTTCAATGTGATCGATGTGAACCAGGTTATTGGGGATTAAATAAAATATCTGAAGGCAACAGTGGATGTATTCGTACGTATTATAAGCTCATCATCATTAAAATAAATTCCCTAATGTTGATTTCTGCTTAATCTAGCTTGTTCCTGTAATATGAATGGATCAATTCGTGATGATTGTGTAAGTATTAACTTTGATGCTCTTAATATGTGTTTAATTTTGTTAATTTAAAATTTTTTCCACAATTTAATCAATCAGGAACAAATGACTGGTCGTTGTGTTTGTAAACATGGACTCCAAGGAATGAAATGCAACGTTTGCCCAGAGGAAACTATCCTCGATCAACATGGATGTATTCACGGTAAATTTCGCCCTTTTTTCATTGATTTACTTTATATTATTGTTAACAATGTATTAATTTTGGTCTTATTTCTTTTACTCACTATTGGTTTAGTTTCATTGATCAAGTTTTATTCTGGTTCGTGTGCTGACATGAAATGCCGATTTGGTTCGGCTTGTGTTGAAAACCCTGAAAAAGGAATTCAATGTGTTTGTGCTATGAGATGTCCTGAGGTAACTCTAGGCCCAGGTCATTTAATTCGACGAACATCGCAAGTAATCTGTGCCTCTGATGGCAACACTTATCTATCTGAATGTCAAATGAAATTCTTTGCGTGTCGAATGCAGAGAAAGATTAATCTTGTTCACCATGGACAGTGTCGTAATACACCAGGATCATCTTCCACCTCCTTTACCTCTCCTTCATCATCAACCACCGAAGACGAATCTGTTACTCAAGGACCAGCTCGTCGTTCCACAATGTTCAAAACAACTCTTCAAGATACCGATAAACCGACCAGAGAGTTGTCACTAAGCTTCTCTGAGCAAGTTAGTCCACAAACAACAAGTGCAACACCAACTATACCATCAAAAGCAATTAAAATCCCAGCTCTTGTTGGTAACTCGTATTTGGAATTGGCTAGACTTCAAGCTTACACTCGCCTTTCTATTGAGATGGAGTTTGTCACTTATTCTGATTCTGCGATTCTTCTGTACAACGGTCAAACAGGGACTGGTGATGGCGATTTTATTTCACTTTCTATTAGAAAAGGTAAAATTTTCTTAACCTCATAACTTGTACACGTCTAATTATAAAAAATAATTTCTTGTACTATTACATTTATTAGGTTTCATCGAGTTTCGTTTTGATCTTGGATCAGGAAAAGTTGTCCTTACTTCATCTAAAACAATTCAACTGGGATCAGTTATCAAATTGGTTGCCAAAAGATATCTCAAAGATGGAATTTTGACAGTTGAAGGACAAGAAGATGTTGCTGGAGCAAGTGAAGGTGATCTCAAAAGTCTTGATTTGGCTGAAAATTTGTACATTGGTCATGTTCCGGGTCGAAATAGTAAAATATTTGAAAACATTGGAGTTAAAGATGGTTTCATTGGATGTATTCACAGTTTACGAATTGGTCGTAAAGATGTGGATCTTTCTTATCCTGCTTCAAAAGAGCTGATCAAAGTGGTTGATGTACACGATTGCAGTGATATGCCATGTACCTCAAATACTTGTCTTAATGGTGGTTCCTGTCACCCTGAAAGTGGCCCAAACTTTGGTTCCTATGAATGTTTATGTCCAGTTGGATTTACTGGAAAAAATTGTGAAATTAAAATGGATGTTTGCTTAAATGAAAGTCCGTGTATAAAAGGTTCGACCTGTGCTCTTTTACCTCGAGGAGGCTTTTCGTGTCTCTGTTCACAAGGCCAATCTGGAAAAATCTGCTCACAACGTAAGGTTTTAGCTAAATTATAATTGACTAATGCTAATAAGTTTTATTTTTGCTTGATTAAACCAGTTCCTCGGGAAATTGAAAACGCATTTGTTCCTGATTTTTGGACTTCATCCTTCATGGTTTTGCCTTCACTTACGAATGTCGCTCAATCTTTTGTCATAGAAGTTTGGTTTACAACAAGAGACCCGAATGGACTTATTTTGTACAATGGACAAAATTCAGCTCAGTCACGAGGTGATTTCATCTTATTAAACATATTTGATAGTCGAGTTCAATTTTCGTACAATTTAGGAAGTTCAATCCCTAATGTTAGGTAAGTTTTATTGTAATTTTAATGCTTATGATTGTCTCAATGTAATTAAATTATCATTCTACATGCTTTCTCTACATTTTACTTCACTTTTCTAGTGGAATAATAACATTAACGTAAGTCTTTAATTGTTTAATCAATTTGCTTATTATTCTGACTATATTGAATGATTATTCTGTTTATTCTGTTAGGTCTCGAAAGAAAGTCTCAATGAATGAATGGCATTCAGTTAGGATTACGAGAGATCGACAAAAAGGAACCCTTCAACTCGATGATAGTGCAACTGAATTTGGACAAGCTAAGGTAAGTTAATTAAAATTTGACTCAACCATAACTAATTATCATTAATTCATGAAACAGGGTGATCTTAGTGAGTTGAACCTTGATCAACCATTGTACATTGGAGGTATTCCTGATAACGTCAATATTAACAGAGAAGCCGGAATTATGGTCGGACTCAATGGTGCTATTCAAAGAATTGTGGTTAACGGTGAAATTTGGGATAATTTGATGGATCGAGCAACAACAGTCAACAATATTGCTGATTATAATGGTCCACCGTGTGGCTTTACAAACCCATGTCCAAACAATGCAATATGTTTGCCACAGTTTAGTGATTATCTTTGTAGCTGTGCGTCCAACAATAGATCACAAACCTGTCTCAACTTGATTGACGCCAGAAAAGCAATATCTTTGCGGAAAGGTTTTGTTACGAGAGAAGTCACTGGTTAATTGTGGTTAAATTTGAAATTTAATCTGATCCCGAGACAGATGAGCAATAAAAGATGGACAAAGATTGTCAATCAATGAAATCTGCTCAAACAAATATCAACCAGTTTTTCGCTGGCTACAACTCAACAAAATATTGAAAAGACTGGAAATTAACAATTCAACTTCATGTCCATTCCTATTAATAATAAACTATTATCAATGTGCCTTAACTTGATTTTAGAATATCAATGAACTAATTAACAGGTGTTAATCATGACCTTTAATATGTAATAAATCTAACTTCTCAAAGTCTATTGACACTTCATTTCTTTATTTAATCAAATATTGAAAAATTTTTGTTGAAAATTACAAAAATTGATGGTGAGTAACTAACTGACAAATTGTGAGTGATTTAGAAAAGTATTATATTGTTGAAATGAAAATGATTACAATCTTGAGTGTGCTCAGAGATTATTCATCTTATTCTCTTTCAAATAATCATAATATACTTCAATTATAAGCTTTTTTATTTGATGATTAAATGGTTGATGAACTAGGGACCCAAAACTGGTTCATAAGGAGGAAGGATGAAGTTACCATCCCGTTATGTTTCCCAAAGACGACCAAGAACATGATGTAGATAATGGTTTCTTTCCTTTTCATGATATTCTGAGTTAAAAGGTGAGTTCCTTGACCTGAGAGAAAGAAGAGAAAAAAGGAAAATCTGAGAATCAGATAACAGAATTCATCTTTTCCTGTGTGTGAGTGTATTAATTAAACTATACAAACCTTTGGGCAGTTGAAAAGAAGCGTTAAATGAAAGTAAAACCAAATGGCTGAGAATGAATATCAAATTTACATTCAGTTTAATTTTCTGATACTATTAACAATAATTAGCCTGTCAAAATGCTAAAAGGCATAAACAATAAAATCAGAAATTCTGTTGTTCAAATAAATGTCCACTACTAGGAATATCAAAACAAAAAATTATCATTGATATCCTAATACCTCAAATTATCCTTTTCTGTGTGACGAAAAAAGTGAATGTAATTTTTAATGGTGATACAAAAATTGATTTAAATGAAGTTTAATCCATGATTTCGTTAATTTTACCGAAATTGGTTTATTTATTCCTATCAGCACATGATTAACGATTTTCAATTGTTTGAGATTGGTTTTTATAGTTTGAGGCAGTCGACGGAAATCGGCAAATATCCGTGTTAAGAAAGAATCGTCTCTACGAATTTGAGTTTTTATGTGTTTAAATAAGTTAAATAAACCTTTACTTTATGAAAACTGATTTAACTGGTTTTTAAGTTGTTCATTGATAAAGCTCTGAAACATTCGGAAATGGATTCTGGAAATTATATCATTCGTGGAAATGGTAGATTGTTTGGAGGGAAAGGCGAGCATAAATTAAATTGAAATTTTATTCTGTTGCTTAAATATTTTTCTTGTCATCGATTTTCTTAGGGGAAACAAGACTTTATAGACCTGCCGATACTCACAATATGAAAATATTTAATGTGAATAGCCGATGATGATTTGCTATTATTGATGTTATTATTGTTCTTAAATAATATTGAACAAGTCAATGAATACATTGCTGACATCATGATAACGTTTTGGTACAACGATATAATAATTTTTTTATAGTGTTAAGCAAGTTAGAAGAGAAAGGGATTGGGATTGGGAATTTTGTGGTTATTAAAAGGCACTGAAAAAGGCACATATTAGCAGTTCGAGTCGAGAACTTTAACAACATAATCAGAGATATCAGTATCCATGTGTTTAGTCAAGAATGGATGGTCCAACAGTACTGCATAATTTGGTCTAAGTTGATAATCCTTTTGTAAACTGTAAATAAGAGAAAGATCATTAGAATTGGAAAATAAAGTTCTCATAAGGCATTGAATTTATTGAGGAAATGATAATGAAGGGTGAAAAATGTTAATGACAACACACAGATTGTAATTTGACTAAACGATATTGAATTTCAATGCATGTTAGACTCTATCAGGTAGAGTTTTGTACATTTTAGATACGTCAGAGTTTACTTACCATTTGTTAATGAAGTCATCAAAATCAATTGAATAACGATTCGGGGGTAACTTTGGTGGTTCCTCAGTGCAAATTTGTTTCAGAAGATTGAAAAAATTGTTTCCAACTAGCTTGTAAGGGAATTGGCCAATTGCTAATTCCAGCATAGACATACCGAGACTCCAAACATCCGATCTTATATCATACCCTGGCCTATTAACTGGTGGATTAATTCGTTCAGGAGCCATGTATGGTTTACATCCTACTTCCATAGTTTTGGCAACTGAGTTAACTAAAGGACCAGAGATACCGAAATCACATAATTTGACTTCACCGAGACGATTAATTAAGACATTTGAAGGTTTAACATCTCGATGAATTATGCTTATTTGGTGAAGGTAGCTCAAAGCTTTAACAACACAAAAGGCCGTTTTCCCTAAAACCTCTTCAGGAATAGCGATGGGTGATTCTTTGTCTTCTTTCGATGTAACAGCTGAGAGTGATGTTGATGAAGGCTGTGATAATGATGATGCAGTCGATTTAGTATCTTTTCGTGCTTTCTCATATGCTTGGCGGTAAAATTTGTCCAATGACGAATCCATTATTTCCATGAAAATCCAAAGGTCACCTTCCCAGAAAAGAGCTCCATAAAATTTAACAATATAGGAACAATCAACGGTTTTTACAAGTACATCCATGTCCATTAAAAATCGTTTCTGTTCTTGACTAACAGCAGTCCTCTTATCATATAGCCAAAAATAGAAAGTGACAAAAATTAAAAATGAGTTTGCTTTAAATGATTATGATCAGCTAGACAAAGAGTTTAACTATCAAGAAATAAATTTACTTGATATCTAGTTGATTGAAAAGAATACATTGAAGCATAAAAAATCTATATCAACAGTTTACCTTAACAGCCATTTCGATTTGGGACGGCTTATGACGAACTTGTTCAACTATTCCATATGCACCTTTTCCTAATTGACTAACAACCTCAATATCCTGAGGAGCAACGGAGATTGTTTGATCATTTATATTAATTGTGGTACATTTGCTTAATTGATTAGCCGCTATGGCTTCTCTGGATGGATCAAGTTGTTGTACAGTTTTAGTAAAGCCAGTTTTTAGAGACGGACCTTGTCGTCGTGAAGCGAGACTTTTTGAAGATCGTCCACTATCAGGTATTGGTGGTATCTTGTCATCCATGTGAATTAAAAGTGAACTGGTCTATCAATCACAATATATTTATATATATACAAAGATGACACCGATTCAGTGTTAACAGTGCAAGCAACTTAATTTACTTTGAAGCAGTGAATAAAAAGAGAAACAAGAACAAAACAAGGTTTTCACATAGAACAGTAAATGAAAATGTGTAAAAACGGATAGGACAATTTTGAGCAGTCAATTAGTAAAAGATGTTCCTTTAACTTTAAGACAATTAGTATTGCAATAAAACCAAATACTAAAAAAATAAATACATTCACAATTAGAGTTAATAAATTAAAGCTGTCCTCTGCTCGTAAATTATTCTAGCTTATCTAGCATTTGTTTTTACTGCTGTATCTTCAATAACAATGTTTAACACACCCATTAAAACAGATAAAAATTTTACGCGGTTTATTGGAAATCAGTATTTCAAGACTTGGTGAATAAGTTTGATTGTACTTGAGTACTTGAGTACCTGAGTTGATCACAATAGACCAAACGATTAAGTCGATCAAAAATAGTTGAGAAGTAATTTTTCAAAATTATTCAAAAGTCAATTTCAGCGTCAAGCCAAAATTAATAAATGTACAGTGTAAAGTAGTTTTGATTGTATCTAAATCTTTCAAAGAAGGATCTATTATCCTATTTGGTTTTTAACGGATCTACTTTTCAAGCGATTTTTTTATCAGTGAACCTCTATCGTCATCAGACCATTGGATTATGTGATCCAAATTGCTTGTTAAATTTCGATTCTACATTAGGTAACAGTTAACGTATCATTAAACCTGACTTCAATGACTATGAAGTAAGTTCTGTAAATCCAGTTAATTCACGCTGGCCCTTTCCAAATGATAAAATCTTTTTCTTCAACCTTTTACTGTAAACTTTCAGCTACGAGGTTGATCAACTTTTCAATTTAAGAACCGGATTTATCGGTTAATCACAAATGCAATCAAACGTCAAGTTTGCTTTTATTCACTCATCGTTCCATCTCACAAATAAAGAAAGGTCAAGTTACATTGACTTTCTCATTTTTGCTGAATAAGAAGGCTCTCTCTTTCTAATTGTCTGTCTACTTTTTTTCAGTTATTTTATCGTTGGTAACAACAACAACAGAAATGATAAACCAAGAACTGAAGCTGCCCTTTATTACCAAACAAGCTTTTACATGAGAGTAATCCTTTGGTTACCGGTTCTGTTATGTTGAGTAAAAGAGGACCAGCCCAACTTTTCCTAGAACCGACCTTAACCTGTTCCCTTGATGAACTCGTATATAAAGCTGTTCAGATGTCTGTCCAGCTCTCAGGTCACTTACGGTTGTTGGTTTGGTAAAGTGATTAGATACTAATATAACTTTTTCTACTTTGAAAATCAGTGTGCTTATTGAAAACATGAAATCGGTAAGTTTATCATTTATATATCATTTGAAAACTGTTATTTTGCTTTTATTTTGTGATTTTAATTGTGCCTTTTATTTGTTTCTTTGCTGATTCACATTGGCCATTCCCTGACAATTCAGACTTGCTTAATTGTTTTAGCCCTTTTTGGTGCATTTGCCACAATCAAAGCTTATCCAAGTGTTAAAGGAGTTCCTAGCCAAGTCTCAGGTAACAAGTGATTTTGATTATTCTAGCTCGATTTGGATTTGTTAAAATTTAGTGGAGATTTCCGAGCTCTACTAAATCGCTGATTAATAGAGCCGAATGATTAAATTTTCAATTTAAATTCAATATGCCGTCTTTTTAATCATTGCAATTTAATTTTCAGATGTCAAAGGTCTCAAACATCCCCCTAGTCCAGGACATTATGATCGTCCATCTAAAGTTGGTCAATCAAGAGACGATGTAAAAGGTGTCAAATCAGTTCCTGTCGTTCAACAACAACAACAACAACAAGTACAAGATGAGGTTAAGGGTGTCCAACAGAGAGACCAACAAGTCAAAGGACAATTCCCTGTTCCTCAATATCCAGTCAAAGGTGTGCAGAGAGATCCAGTAAAGGGTATTTCTCAGCACCCAATCGCTCAACACCCAATCAAAGGGCAACATCCAATTGCTCAACAGCCATTTAAAGGCCAACAACCAATCGCCCAAGAACAAGTTAAAGGACAACAACCCCTTGGAGTTACTAGACAACCTTACCCAGTCAAAGGATATCCTCAACAACGAGAAGAGAGCGCAAAAGGAGCAAAAAGTCTAGTTCAACAATCTGAAGTTAAAGGTGTCCCACGACAAAGACCATACTACCCTGTTAAAGGCCATCCTCAACAAACTCAACAACAAGTTCAAGATGATGTCCAACAGCGCCAACAACCCGTCTTTCCAGTAAAAGGCCAACGACAAACTCGAAGTTTAAACTATGAACAAGACTTTGACTCAGGAAAAGTCAGCCCTGCCCACGCTCTGCAACAACGAGAACAGTCTGTTAAAGGTGGGTAATCAAGACGAAGAAACTAATCTGTCTAAAATGGCAGCATTAACTATGCTTTATACTTATCAATTAATTTATTCAATTATTATTTATTTCTTTATTGTTTAGGCCGAAAAGGAGGCATCAAAGGTGCACCAAAGGCTCCAACAAAGGGTGCTTTACGAAAGGGAGGTAAATCTGTCGAGGATGTTAAAATTGTTCAACAAGAAGCTAAGGTTGCTAATGTTCAATCTCCAGTTCAGGTAAAAGAACAAAAAGTTGACGAGCAAGTCAAAGTTGAACAAAACTCAGTAAAATCTGTTCAAGAATCAGTTCCTGTTGCAGTTGCTCAAGAAAAAGTCGTCCAAGAATCAGTTGCAGTCGTAAAAGTTGCACAAGAAAAAGTTGCCCAGGAATCAGTTCCTGTCGCTAAGGATGTCCAAGAAAAAGTTGTCCAAGAATCTGTGAAAGTTCCACAGGAATCTGTTAAAGTTGCTCAAGAAGCAGTCCCAGTCCAGGTTAAAGATACTCAAGTAAAGTCAGAAGAGGTACAATCTCGATCAGAAGAAGCCGTTAAAGGGCAAACCGTAGTTTATGCTGTTGCTAGTGGTGTTGGTGCCGGTTCTGGTGGCTCAGCCTCAGCTTCTGCATCAGCTGTTGTTGTTGTTTCCCAAGAGCCCCAAGTTAAAGAGGATGTTAAATCTGTTATTGTTGATGACAAAAAAGATGATGTAAAAGTAGTCAAATCAGATGAAACCAAACAAGCACGTAATATGGGAAAAGTTGGTTCACCAGTAAAAGGTGTTCCTTTTTATCGAAGAAAAATTAGTCAACAAAAGGATGTCACTGTTCAACAAAATGAACAACAAGCTGTCCAAGAGCCTCAAGTCGTTCAACAAGATCAAACAGTCCAACAAGATTGAGTTATTTGAATCTCTTCTTTGCTCTCAAAAAAATACTCAAACAAATATTGCCGAGCTTGTGTCCTATTAATTTATTGCATTTTTTTCATAAAATAATTTTAAACGAAAATTTTGTATTCATTTATTTATTTTCCCAATCACATCATCAAAAGCGAGCCTAAGAGGCACGAAAAGATAAATTCATTGGAATGATTCATCAATGATGAATATTGACGGAAAATGTTGATTGAAAGACGAAACTAAACTATTATCTAAATCAGAAAAAAATAAATCTATTAATTTACGATCATTTTGTTAGTCTTTTCACAGTTTTTACGGATGTAGCTTAACAATTGATTATGCGAACAGTTTAACACTTTTCAGGTTAAAATCTTCATTGAACCATTTCTTTTATGACTTCAATGTTCCCCCTTTTTTTACTCTCCTCTCCCTCTTCTCCCTCCTTTACCATCTTGTTTCTCTTTTGACAAACAAGATCATCAGCTGTTAACTCCATACTCCAGTAAATTGATTTTAATTGTTATTAGCTTTACACTGCATTTTTATTTATTTTTTTGTTGAAACTCATTTAGATTATTAATTACCAAATTATTTTGTGCTACATTGCAGTCGTGTTCAAGGTGAAAATATGGAAACCCACTTTCTGGTGATATTGTGATCAACTCTTTCAGTCATTTTAAAATTATTTTGGTTCATTTTTTGGTGAATTTGGTTTTCCATACAGTTTACTTAATTAAAGATATTGTAAATATTATAATTCGATAAATCTTGACCGACCTACAGTGTGAAAAAGACCAAAAGAGTAAATGCTATAATTTAATGTTTAATCCATTATGGATAACCATCTATCCATATCGTCATCCTCTCCATCACCACAACCACAGTTGATAGATTTAACTGATGATCAAGAGGATCCAGTTGACCCATCTGGTTGTCCGATTTTGTTTGAGGGACCAAACAATTCAATCATCAGCCTTGAGTACTCGTCAATTTTTTTTCATCTTTTACATCCTTTTCAGCTACCCCTATTTATCATTAACTGTCATAGGGCGTGTAATTAAAAACTGCTTGTCTTCACTTATGTCGATTTCACCCGAGGCTTTAAAATCTTGTCTCTCTCTCAAAACTGATTATTTATGCGATAAACCTGGATGAGAACCTGCCATTAATGGCGGTTTGATTTACAAGTCGAAGCTTAGGGAGAAAGAAGAAAAGGAGTTAGAATGAAAGACAAAACCGTTGATTTATTAGCCTGGTTTCTTAGAAACCATGTTTTGTTTTGATTAAATCGTTAGTTAACAGTCTGCCCTGTCCATTAAAATGTGTATAATTTTAGAGGACAAAGCTGAAAGTCCACATCTTTTGACTGTGTTAAAATTAGATTTTCATGTTGATAGTCTCCTTTTTTCTAATCTTTATAACCATTTGAAAATTTGTTTCACTAATTGTTTTTTTCTGCCTTATTCAAATAGTGAGGATTCTGACACTGATGATAACACATTGGAAAATGGAAGAATAACTCGACCAGATGAGAAAGAGAAAGAAACCGACGACGAAACCGATTGGGGTTTTAAGGGAAATTTCAATGGAGCCAAAGTAATTCGTAGAAAAGTGAAAAACTCAATTTATCCTGTTAATTCCCAGTTGATAAATTATCAAACAAGTTGTTCAAATCAAGTGACACCTAAATCAACAGTTACATCACTAAGAAGTCAAGATATTTCTGGTTTAGAAAGTACAATTTCGGGAGCTTGTAGTATAAGAGAAGGAGGGATCAAATTTGGTGAAGAAAAAGACGAAATAAGACACAGAGATGGTGTTGATGATGCCAAGAATAATTCGAGAAAATGTACTAAATCTTCAATTACCACTAATGATGCTTCTTCATACTACCCGAATGGAGTAACCAGGAGAAACTTGGCCGAGGATGTAGAGGTGGTTGAAAGGCAAGAGGATTCAGGGGATGGAGAAGAGACAAACTGTCAATCCGGAAGGGAAAAAAATTGCCTCTCTGAGAATAGAGTGAACTTTCTGGAGAAAACTTTCGTCAAGTGTATTGGTAAACGCAATCAAAAATGGATTTGTCAACTCTGTGGATATAAAAATTTTGATACTTGTTCCGAATGTGTTCAATGTGAACGAAGAAAACGATCTCATGTCACTGTTGACCATCATTATCCTTCTCAATCGCAGCAGCTTCAAAAATCTCAAAATTCTTTTAATGATTTCAACAATCCTACATCATTTTTACAGACGCCTTCATTTTCTCAAGATTCAGTTGCCATAACCAAAAACAATAAAAAGATTAAGATAAAATCTAGTGATGATATTAACTGGATCTGTGATAAGTGTTCTTTCAGTAATCTCTACCTAGTTAAAGATTGCCTCAATTGTCGTCGAGGTAAAGTCTTTTTTAAAAGTCATGGTTACAAGGGCTTGGAATCTTCAGATTTCCAAGTAACAAATTGCCTGCTAACTCATTTAATATCACCGGTTCATCAACCTCAATACGAGATTAAACGCCAGTGGAAATGCTCGAATAAAGATTGCAATTTTCTCAATTTAGCATCAACCTTTGCATGTGTTGTATGTGATACAAAAAGATTAAATTGTTTAACCAAACCTGATGCTCGAAAAAATGGCATGAATGTACGTCAAGCCAAGTTCAAAGCTAGATTAAGGAAACATGATTCCGAGGGGTCGAGGCCATCTTCCGATTCCAATCAAATGAATTCAAATGATGTAATTTTAATTGATATCTCAAATGATAATTCATCTTTAATTATATCAAGGCCATCTCCTTTATCATCAAATAAACAGAAAGAAATTCAACAACAAAATGCATCGAATAGTCAAGGACTTCTTCCATCATTGTCATCATCATCATCTTCTTCTTTCAATAATAACTGCCAAGTTAAAAGAAGTAAATCTTTACACGAGGTACCATCAGTTGAATTTCCATCGTGTTCACAATCAAATGTTGCTACAGCAGATCCACCGATTTTTTCTCAAACTTGTACTCAACTAACAAATACCAACTCTAACATTATGATAACATCTTTATCGTCTTCATCATCTAATGCCTCGTCATCCTCGTCATCCTCTTCCTCCTCGCCATCTTCAATAGCCTCGGATACAGACAACGAAGAACTGAACAGTCAAACAGAAGATAATACTTTTTGGACTTGTCATCATTGCAGTCTGTCATTTAACACATCCAGCTCTATCACATGTCTTTATTGTGATACACCGAGAAATCACAATGAAGGATCTCCAATAAACTTAATCCCTCGTAATGGTACAGTTTCATATACAAACAACATGAATTCCATTTGTAATCGTTTACCCTCATTTCAAAGTATTTTGTCGTCAACAACATCCCCATCTTCATCATCAACACCAATATCCTCAACATCCTTGAATTCTTCATCAACAAATGAAAACTTTTGGACTTGTATAAAATGCACTCTCAACAATTCCACGGAAGAAAACTTTTGTACTGCTTGTGGTGGATCTAAGGCCAATAGCACAAGTGACAAAACTTTTCAAACTCTCAAGCATGAAGAAAGCTGGGTTTGTGATAGATGTACTCTTCGTAATTCCAAGAATCTTGAAAAGTGTATGGTTTGTGAATCTCGTCGACCAATAATTAACCAGCCTTTTAGTCAATCTGTACAAAATAACCTGAGTACAACTAGACCCGATTCAACTCTTGGTAAAAGAGTCAAATGGGAATGTTCAGCATGTACTTATATAAATCCTGTTTCCCGATACAGCTGTGAGATGTGTCAACAAGCTCGAAGTGTCTTAACCATGAGACCAGACACAGTTAGTCGAAGTCGAACATCAACTTATCGATCAGTCAATAATACTCTTTGTCGTGGAGAAAGTGAGCTTATGGAAGATTTACGAATGATTGAAGAAGGAGAAGCACGAGATCGATGGGAAAATATTGTCAGATTCTGTAAACAAAGCGGAATAAGTTTTGTTGACGACTCTTTCCCACCATCTCCTAAATCTTTATATTGTTCTTGGGAGGATAAAGTTCATTGTAAAACAGTTTCTCAATGGCTTCGATTGAGTGACATCAAATGTCACCCGAACATGGCTAATGTCAAATGGGCAGTTTTTAGAACACCTATGGTTTCAGATATCTCTCAGGGCGTTTTAGGTAATTGTTGGCTTCTTAGTGCCTTGGCGGTTCTTGCTGAGCGACCGGAATTAGTTAAACAAGTGATGGTAACCAGAGAAATTTGTCCTCAAGGGGCTTATCAGGTTCGACTTTGTAAAGATGGTAAATGGACTACCGTTTTGGTTGATGATTTACTACCTTGCGATAGTAGTGGACGACTGGTTTATTCACAAGCTAAAAGGAAACAATTGTGGGTTCCATTGATTGAAAAGGCCGTGGCTAAGCTTCATGGTTGCTACGAAGCACTAGTTTCTGGTCGAGCTATTGAAGGTTTATCAACATTAACTGGTGCACCATGTGAATCTATTCCTCTACAACCAGCGACAAACGGTGTACCTCAAGAAGAGAGAATCGATGAAGATTTGATTTGGGCCAAATTATTGAGTTCTCGAGCTGCTGGGTTCCTCATGGGAGCTTCATGTGGCGGTGGTAACATGATTGTCAATGACATGGAGTATCACAGAATAGGTCTAAGGCCTAGACACGCTTATTCCGTTCTTGATGTTCAGGATATTGATGGTATCAGACTTGTGAGACTTCGTAATCCATGGGGACATTTTTCTTGGAAGGGTGATTGGTCCGATGAAAGTGATTTATGGACTGATGAATTGAAAATTCAATTAATGCCTCATGCTGCGGACGATGGTCTTTTCTGGATGTCTTTCACTGATGTTTTAAAGTATTTTGATTCAATTGATGTTTGTAAAGTTCGTAAAGATTGGAACGAAATACGGATAGAAGGTGTTTTGCCTCCTTTTGTAGACAAAGAGAATTTGGATTTGATAATAATTACAGTTTTTGAGGCTACAGAAATTGAATTTAGCCTTTTCCAAGAGAATCAAAGAAACACTAAAAAGGTTCAAAGATCTCAATCAGATTTATGTGTACTCATATTCAAAGCCGCCCCCAACTCATTCAGTCATATAGGTAGCCTTATAAAACATAGTCGTCGGCAAGTACGAGGATTTGTTGGATGTCAAACAATGCTAGAACCTGGTGTTTATGCAGTTGTTTGTTTAGCATTTAATCATTGGCATACAAGTAAGTGTCTTCGTTCCGAGAGAAAAATAACCAAAATTAACGAAATTTTCTAATATCTTTTTGATAGCTTTCAATGGACCTGATGATTATCCCAAATTTCTCCTCTCCATCCATAGCTCGAAGAAACTATTGGTGGAAACAATTCCTCCTCCATCTTTTATTCTTGCTGATGTTATTATTAATTTAACCCTGTCCAAAGGCCAACGTCATGAGGTACTTTGTCGAAGATGACATTCCTCCTCTATAATTTAAACTTATCTTTACTCATTAATTTAATCTTACACTAAATATTTTAGGGAAGGGAAGGAATGACGGCGTATTATCTGACAAAAGGATGGGCTGGTCTAGTTGTGGTCGTTGAAAATCGATTAACTGATAAACGAATTCAAGTTATCTGTAACTGTTGTGAGAGTGTAAATGTTGTCTCAACTAGAGGAACCCTTCGAACGGTTGACAGTATTCCTCCAAGACACAGGTTAGAAATTAGAAATTTATTTCTATCTATCTAATTTAAACTATTTTGTACAAAATATTAATGATTTTTCCATCTCTTCTCATTAGACAAGTGATCATAATTCTTACACAACTGGAAGGTATTGGCGGCTTCTCAATAGCACATCGTTTAACTCATAGAGTCTCTCATAAATCCGGACTTCATGATTGGGGACCACCTGGGACAAATCATTTGCCTCTATTGGAGCCTGAAATATTTGGCTTACATGCACCAAGGCCGATTTGAGGATAAACAATTCAATTCGTATTCCATTCACCTTCCACTTTACTTTCAATGTTGAGCGAAATTGGCTCGGATTCGAGATTTCTAATTTATACATGTATTAAAAAATCCAAAGGTCCTTATTGTGGCAATTTAAGTTATGTTTTTGTTCCTGTAAATTTATTTCTAATCAAAATGTATTAAAGTTTGATAACATTGATACATTGAATAAATAATTGAATGAAAGTTTTCAAAAAATTCAAAAAGATTTTAATCATTCATCATCAGAGTCAATACAAGCTCTTCTTCGGTCAAATTTAACTTTTGTTTCTTTATTGAACTGCTGGCTAACTTTTTCCAAGATACTCTTGAGATCATTTTCGGATAGTTTAGAGCTTATTGCGCCCATTCGAGCATTGTTTATTAAAATGTCTTCCAACATTTTACCTTTTTCTGGTTTGGCAGTTTTAATTGTATTTAAACGTGCTCGAGCCTCTTGACTTAAAATTTGTGACAAGATAGTGTTACGGAACTCGTCTTCTTTCTCTTTTCTCTCCTGTCTAGCTTGGCCGTCATCACCACCACTGCCGGAGGGACCCTAAAACAATATATAAATAAGGCAACACAGCATTAGAATGCACATATACATGTAATAAGAGGATAGAAATCACTAATGCAAAACGGTGAATAACTTACCTTAGCACCTTGATGTTGCTGTTGAAGTTCTTGGAGTCTCCTAGCTCTGATGGCTTCAAGTTCATCGTCCATTTTGATTTTTTAAAAAAACAAATCAACAAAACTCTGTCAATATATGGCAAAAATTTGATTCACTCAATGTAGATCCGCTTTTTGGATTAATCAGGTATTCAAACCAAATTTAGGTTTGTTTCTTTAAATGCCTCAACCCAAATCATCAGCTGAGAAATACCTAAAAATGCAGCGCCAAATACGAGAAGGAAAATAGTTGATTTTAAATATTTGCGATGATTAACAGTTCAAATGTTGAAAATGAGCGAAGATTTTTAATATTTGAATTTACTTTAATTTTAATTCAAGCAATTCAGATCCTCAAAAATGCATTAAGTCCTGGAGTTAAAATTAAAAAACAATCTAGGTTTGCTTTTTTGATTGCCAATGATTTTGACAAAAAGGTTTAAAATCTAACACACAAAGTAGATAACCATTTAAAGTGCAAAATAATAGCTTCAATTGATTCAGTGGATTTTGCATGATTAGATGAAGTTGGAAAAATTTAAATACACAAAGGATTTTCAACAATAAACTGGGAAAATCCATGATATCTGTTGGAATAGATTCAGCAAAGTAAGCAAATTTTCAAAATATTGTTATTGTGAATTCTGGCAACAATCAACCGAAATGGACTCAGATTACTAGATCAAGATAAGCCCAGTTAAAATCATCTTGAAGATATAACACAAAAAATGTTGATCATCACTTCATCAACAGCCATTAATGTTACCAAAATTGCATCTTTATCAAGTAACTCTTTTCATAATCAAGAACGAGTTAACTTGAAATATACTCAATCACATGTCTAAAAACCGAAAGAGTTAGTAATTAGCAAGATAAATTGCCAATTAAATAAGAACAGGAGTACCTTTGAACCAGTGAAATAATGCCACAAAGGTTTCATCATTTAACCCAAAATGTAGGATCCAAGCATTAAAAGGAGTTAAACCAAAATGCAGATAACGACAAATAACATTGGTCTGGTAGGTTTAAAAACAGTGTTATATAATTGTCCTTCATATTAGCTACAATCAACATCAACATAATCATTATAATCATTCACGTTCATTTTTTCTCATCATCTTCTTTCTTCTTTTAATGACAGAAAACTGTAAACAAACATTATCACGTGATGCATTGCATCATGCAAAATGTCAGTTCTTCAACCAATCAGGTTTGCTTTACAGACTTTTCTAGATCATTTTGGCTTATCAACACACAACCAGTAGTGAAAGAAATTGTTTTCAAGAATCAAACAAAACAAAGACCTCGTAAACGTTCTTAATTTAACTAATTTTAAACAGTTAATTATATTCAACAATAACAATCTATTACATCAACAAATCAACTAAACCCTTTGCAACAATATTGGACAGTTTGTCATCCAACTAAAGTCTTTCTGTGATTATTTTTGATTGAGTAAGCATTTATTTTTTTTTTATTTGATTTTATGCTTCTTTTATTTCTATCGTGTATTCTGTTTGTTATTGCTTAGTGATTATTTGATCTTAAGTGTCCCTTTTACTGCTTCACGTTAATTCTTAGTCTTCACTGATTTAATTTTCACTCTCCAATTCTCTTTCGACAACTGTCTGTCTGTTGTTTCTGATTTCTCTCCTCGCTTTTGTTTTCATTCTAATCATTATTTTTTTTTCTATTTTTTTGTACCTGACTAAACCACCTTTTGGAATATACCATAACTTTCACTTGACAGTGCTTTTGAATGATTTTAATGTTTTTACAATGGATCGTTCTTTGGTGACTGTTTCACCTGATGTATCCAATGTCAACAATAACAATAACAATAATTTTGGTGGCAACGTTGGCTTGTTTTACAACCAGAACTACAATGGACATTATTTAAACAATAACAACTTGAATAATTGCAACAGCAATGCCAATGTAAATAGTACAAACAACTGTTCAATAGAAGATGGCTTCACTTTTGACGACAAACTCATTGATTTTGATCAAGATTTGGATACATTAAGCTTATCTTTATGGCAATCGGAAGGATTCAATGGTATCGGTTGTGAAGAGCCTATGAAGATAGAGGACATATTTCAATCAGATATTGCTGATTTTACTGGTGGACCAACACTGGCTGAACTAAATTTGGTTGATGACAAACTTGACTCAACTGATCTTGATGAATATTTAGCTAATCCACCTCCAACAACAACTTCTACCAGGGATGATGTTAACACCATTGGTGTCGTTAAACCTGAACCATCCCCAGACGACTCAAAGAAAACGAATACTCTTGAGAGCTTAAATGTGTTCAACAATGTCAATGTCCCTAGTAACGCAATCCCTTTGTCAGCAGACGAAGTCGACCAACTAGTGATGCTTCCTGCTCAACCCAACGTAGACCCTCAAATCTATGATCCACCTTCCAACAATAACACACCTCAACCCTCTCCACCTCCTCGTCACTTTTTGAGAGTTAAGAGAGTCCTTTCACCCAAATCAACTGAAAAGCAATCTTCAAATCCATTTACGACATCTCAAGATATTATACAACAATTAGAGCAAGTTGATATCAAGCCATTTATCGAGGACATTAAAATGCCAACCGCAACTACTAGTAAGGACATTTTTATGGGCAACAATCAAAATATGGCAAGCATTTCGCCCTTTCCAGTTTTAGCTATCAAGCAAGAGCCTGTCTCTCCTCAAATGGACACAAGCAATTTTGTTTTAAAGTATGACAATGAAAGGATTGTCGAGAGTGAGGGAAAATCTACAGATAATGAATTTCGGAACAGTCAAACCGTTTATCAACCTGGACCAAGTCCAGAATATTCAACATCTCGACTGAGACGTCGAAATAATTCAAATAGCACTGAATGCAGCTTTTCTTCGCACGATGAAGGTTTTGCAAGCCAACCAGAGGATAATTCAGACCAAGAAAATGAGGATTCTGATGATGAATCTTTTTACAAGGATTATGATCCAAAAGATTTGATTGGTGCCACAACTTCAGAAGACTGTGAAAACAGATGGGCTTTAGACATGGGCAGATCTCGAAAAACTGGTCAGCAGAGGTACTTTTGGCAATATAATGTTCAATCAAAGGGGCCAAAAGGTACACGAATAGTCTCACTTCAGGACATCTGTAATGATCCTCATGTTTTAATGGAAGCCAAAGATCCCGTTTTCTCACCTGATTGCTCTATGGAAGGTGTTAAACATGCAGGGAAAGCTCGACGAGGTGACGGTAATGATTTAACACCAAACCCAAAGAAACTTTTAATGATTGGTTTGGAGTTAAAGAAGCTCAGCAAGATAATCAACGAATTAACACCAGTTGCTCAGGTTCCTGTTAACGTAAGAAATAAGTCACGTAAAGAAAAGAATAAGTTAGCATCGCGAGCCTGTCGATTAAAGAAAAAAGCTCAGCATGAAGCCAATAAAATCAAGTTATATGGACTTCAGCAAGAACATAAGCGAATGATGAATGCGCTAAATGACATTCAACATTTAGCCAATGTGGTACTTGAAAAGGGACGATCAGTCCATGACGGAAGATTAACTGATATCTTCGAGGATATTGTATCTGCTAAAGGCCCAAAGGTTAAAGTGGCTGGTAATACGGCTGATTTTGTAAACACAATTCTTGACAATGTTTCAGCTGGAATTTCTGATGGCGGATTGGATAAAATTTAAAGTCAACTTGGCCTTGAGACGACACAACGTTTGGATCTCGTATGAATTAATTGTCACTTTAAAGTAGAAAAATCAAAACAAGCAAAACTAAAAGCCATCATTTAAAACTATTTAATCCACAATTCCTGATGGCTATAAATGACCTTACCCCTAATTAATTTAAATTGGTTCGTTAAACTTCTTTGTTAATATTTATCTTATTTTACAAAGCAACAATCATATTTAAAGGATCCAAAACCTTTAGGATCAATATTACGTTATCAAGGTGTTCAGTGAAAAATCTAATCCCACCCTTTTAAATTACGAATGCTGTAATTGTAACGCACTGTGATATGAATATGTCGAAAAGTTTTTAAAATGGAGACAACAAAGTCAAACTTAAATTTAACGAGAAAAGAGTGAATGATTGACATCAAAATTGATCATTGATTTGATTAACTTTCCTCTTCTTTTCTCCTTGTTTATTACAACTGAACATTTCTTGTCAAAGACAAAAGCATTTCATCGATCTTCCTCTTTTCCTCTTACCTCTTCTTTCTCATCTCTTTTCCATTTTTCCATGTTAATATTAACCATTTAATAGATGATATATATGCATATATGTGTATATATATATATTTAATTAACTATTACCTGTATATTTAGAATTGTATCTTGAACATCTAAATTCCATGTACAGTGTATTTCCCCTCTTTTTTTCGTTATCATATTTATATTTATATATTATATCAATATTATATCTTTTATGCTATTAAGAGTTAATCAACACAGGATGATATATATTTGTATGTTTTTCTTGGTGTTAATTGCTAAATTGTTAAATCATCTTTTTATCATTTTACCTCCCATTGATCTGAGTACAGTTCACATCAAGAAACCGAAAGATATAACAAAAATATGTATAATTTTATAAGATTCTCAGATTTTTGCTGACCTTCTATGGAATAACTTTTCACCTTTTCTCTTTTTGTCAAATTATTGTAAATATATTGACAACTGTTTAAGTTTGACTACAGATTGGTCACAGTGTTTAATGATTGTTTAAAAAAACTAAAAAACTTCAATTCACTGTTTAAATTGTAAGCATGTAAATTGAACAACAAAAAATCGACAAAAATTAAAATGAAACAAATAAAAACTATCTTATTGCTTGTTTATATCATTGTCTCGTCACAAATTATTTCACCAAATCGAAAGAAAATCTTTAAAAATTTAATCAGGAGAAACAAAAATTAGCAATTTATTTATAATTTTGCTTCATCAAGTTCATCTTCATTCAATATGATGAAATGGCTTGAGGTTCACTATTGGGCAAAATGATAGAATTAAAATTTCATGATAACAATGTTATTGTATAAAAATTATAAATATGGGGCGATGGATATTGACATGACTTTCATTTTTGATAAATATTCATTTTCCAAATATTGACTGAAATTTATCACTGATATTGCACTAGAAATTGCTTTTCAAGGTATAAATCGCAATTAGATAAAGATGGTGTACTCAAGAAAACTCCGATTTTATCTATTGTATGGAAACAATCGTCTAAATTTATGGATTGATTGATCCCACCATAGCTTGACTTTAATGTAGGCCCATTAACAAATGGTATTCCATCTATTGGAGAGTAATTGGATGATAATTGCCTTTCCATTGTTTTAGTTCGTACTGATGTCTTGAAATCTGGTCCAGTCTATAAAAAAACAAAATTCATGATGAGATTAGCACAATTATAGCTTTGAAGACCTTTTTAACTTACCGATGGATTAAAATTGCCAGGGAATCTCGGGTATATTGGGTTGACTGTAGAAGCAATCATATTTTTATCAACATCGTCACTTGAGCCTTCAGCTCTATCAGAGTTTGATCCTTGAACAGTTCGTTTGCTTCTTCCAAAGACATTACCAAACAAATCTAACATAATAAAGATAGTTAATTATTAGTTAATTCAACAAATAGATAAAAAAGTATAAAATTTGAACAATTAAAAACAGATTAAAAGCAATATTGAATAATCATAACAGTAAATTGAAGGAAAGTTGATTGTTGTGATTGAACATAAAAAGAGATTGGTTTTCTCATTGAAGCGCCACATTTGAATCGATGATGAGAAATAATTAAATCTCGGAAACAGAGTCATTTAAAGAAGCTTTTGGTTCAATCCAAAGCGATACAATTCAATCTGAAAAGCAGAGCGTTTTTGGTTCCTCGAATTGATATCTTATTTGTTGTATTCAGTTGGTTAGCTGTATACAGTATAAGTTTCAATTTTACCAATTGAATCAAGTTCAGAGTTACACTACTTTCAGTTTATTCAGCTCACGACTCGAAAACTGGGTGATCTTTCACTATACAAACCAGACCTACGTTATTGGGTTCAGTTTTTGTAGCACCCTGTTTGGACACCGCTTGAATATACTTATGAGAAACAAGATGTCTTTTCTCATTTGACGGCAAAGTGACCATGATCAGAATAGCTGTATGATATGGTCTTTACCAAGGCAATGACTGAAGTCGTGTATTCTTTTAATTACTTTATTTAACCAAATTATCGTTTGAATGAGCTAATATTTTTTCAATTCATAAGCTAAATCAATGATAATACAAATATATTCCGTTGTCTAGAATGAACAACCGTAAAAAAGAAGAAGGAAAAGAACATTTAATTTATAAAATTGATTCCTTAACTGCTGCACTTGGTTGGTGAAGTGTATGTATAAGTTTCAGTCGCGGAAAGATCCGCAACTTCATAAAGTATACGTTTTTCAACTTCTTTAGCCCAAAGATGGACAAGTGGATGTGAGTTCGCAGCTATACAAACCAAATCAACATCTTTAGATTCAGTTTGTGAAGCATGATGGCCTGGGATGCACATTTTAACAGGGAACTTAGAGAAACAGGTTTCTTTTTCTCGTTTGATGAGTAAGGTTCTAAAATCAGGGATTGCTAGTCGATCTGGTCTTCCTTAAATTAGCAGAGTTAAGACTTGAACTGGATTGGATTCCAGAAGCATGAATGCCAGAATCCACATTTCGTTTGGTTGATTCCAACTCTGACATAAATAAGAATAGAAAACGAAGAGAAGTCATTTTAACAATCAGATAATTGAAACATGAACAATTTATAATATTGTAATGATAATTGATAAACAAAAACTTACCCAAAGGTCTCGGTTGAAGTTTACCAGCGTAAGTTGAGACAACAAAAAGTAACAAAATATAAAAAGAAATGTTCATTTTTGATTTTCTTCAATCGTATTGATTCAAATATTAATAATAAAGAAGACTGAAGATTCAATTTCATTACCATTAACATTATATACTCTTTAAAATTCACCTTATCAATCTGATCATCTTGTTCAGTCAATATTTATTGAACAATTGAAGTTAATTACTGTTAACTTATAAAATCTGTGATCTTCACATTTTATCACATCTCTTTGGATCTACGATTCACTTGAATTACATCTTGTAATACAATCAGGTATCAGCCCAGTAAATGTTGGGAAATAAGTATTTGAGTGTTGATATGCCGAGTTGAAACTTTGAAAAATCAGGCGCAAGTTTATTCGACTGCACTTTATTTGGTATAAGATGTGTTTTTGGTTCATTATAAATCTCCAATTATGTGATTTTGACTAAAATGAACTAAATAAAGAGATTGATTCAGATGATAAATTGAAATAGCTACCGATAAACATGATTGAATCATAAATAAAGTGTTTAATTGAAATGACACTTACCTTAAACGCGTTATTAACTTTATTAATAACTTTGTATTAATAATAACAATTACATAAGATGTGATCACTTTAGTCTTGAGCAAAACAAGAAATTGTTTAGCGAATGTTTCATGTCTCAATTTATGTCTGTTAACCTTACCCTTTAGCACGCTCGACACTTGAGATTATTTTATTCATTTATATTTTCAGAGTTTTGCTTAAAATTATTGGCTTTTCAAAATCAAAATTCTGATAAATCAAATTTCCATGTGCTTTTAATTGTGCAGGACAGCACATGAAACCCTTTAGAATCCGAATGAAATAACCTAAATTCATGAACTTTATGGTCAAGATAGTTTTCAGGTTTCAAACATAGGTTTAAGTTTGCATTCTGATTTTTTATATTTAACAATCTTTCAAAATTTAATCATCAAAAACAACAATTAGCAAGCTATTTATATATAATTTTGCATCATTTGTTCATTTTCATTCAATATGATGAAATGACTTGAGCTTCACTGTTGGCCAAGATAATAACATATGCTAGATAATAACACATAGTTAAAATTAAAAATTGATGATAACAATGCTAATGTATAAAAATTATAATTATGGACCGATACTAATGGACATGGCTATCATTATAAGTGAGGAACCATCACTGGTCATTGTTTTCCAGGGTATAAATCGTAATTAGATAAAGGTGTCATCACTGATCAAGAATACTTTAAAGATTAGTCTAGTTATAATTTTGGAAGACCTTTTCAACTTGAATATGTCAAACAATCATAACATTAAATAGAGCGAATCTTGATTGCTATAAGTTGTAAGTTATAACTTTGACGCAGCATTTACTGATTTGCTGCTTCATTTGAAAATATTTTTGGTTTATCCATTGAATAAATCTAGAAACTACTTGAATTATTACACTAATCACTTTATTTGAACGGTGAAAGATTTGTTTTTAGCTTTTTGCTTGAATATTCCAATTGAAATTTAGCTTTAGATTTAAGATCAATTTTACAATCAATATCAATGATCGGTATCATGAGCATGTAAACATGTTGGTTTTGAAGGAGTAACAGTGAAAAAAGCGAAAGAAAAAACACATTTAATTCCTCGAATTGATTCATGATTTGCTGCACTCGGTTGGTGAATTGTATGTATAAGTTTCAGTTCTGTCAAGAGAAGCAAGTTCAGTGATTACACGACTATCAACTTCAGTAATCAATTTTTCGTAAAGTGGATGTTGATTCTTTCCGAAACAAACCAAATCAATCTCCTTTGTTTCAGTTTTTGTTGCTGTTTCACCTTGTTTGCACACCAATTTAGGATACTTTGAGAAACAGATTTCATTTTCACGTCGAAACACCAAGGTTCGAAGATAAGGACTTCTCAGCGATCTGGTCTTCCTTATAAAAGAGGCAATTGGTAAAGGCACAACTTTAGTCTTCAATTGGGTTGTAGAGTCAAGACTTGATTGGATTCCAGAAGCATCAATGCTAGAGTACTCATTCACATATCGCTTGGTTTCCTTTAATCCTGACACAAAGAAGAATAGAAAATTAAGAGAAATAATTCAGCAATTAGATAACTGAAACATTAATAATAATAAACAAAAACTTACCCAAAGGTTTTGGTTGAAGTTTGCTAGCGCAAGTTGAGACAACAAAAAGTAACAAAATATAAAAAGAAATGTTCATTTTTGATTTTCCTCGATTGATCCAAGAAGTCTGATGATTTAATGTCATTGCCATCAACTTTTTATACTCTTTGATATTCAACCTAATCAATCTGATCATCTCGTTTAGTCAATATTTATTGAACAATTCACTGTTAATGAAGACCAACAACAAGCACGTTTTCATTACCATCTCTAAGGATCTTTGACTTGAAGCGTAACTCATAATTCAAGAACGTGTTAAATCTGGTATTATATCACAGCAAAAGTTGAAAAACCTTTGTGATAACTTTCAGTTTTTGTAATAGTTTCACTCTGTTTGGTCAATTCATACATGTATTTGGTTGAATATTCCTAGAGAAACAAGATTCATATACTCGATTGATGACCATCAACAGGATAGCTGATTGATGCGGTCTGTCTTATAAGAGGAAATGGGTGACTTCGGTTAATCTTTTACATGTATACATGTAATTACTTTATTTAATCAAATTGTTATTTGAATGGATAATATTTTTTGAAGTTATATTTACGATGATACAAATATATTCCGTTTGTCTTAGAAAGACCAACCGGGAACAAAAATTAAGAAAAGAACGCTTTTGGACTGTTTCCTCAATTGCTGCACTTGGTTGGTGAATCGTAAGTATAAGTTTCAGTCTTTTCAAGATCCATAACTTCAGTAATGATACGTTTTTCAACTTGACTAGCCCATAGCTGGGCGAATGGGTTTGCATACACATCTAAGCAAACCAAACCAACCGTCTTGGATTCAGTTTTTGAAGCATTTGCGCCTTGTTCGCACATCATTAAAGGAAACTGAGAGAAACAGATTTCTCTTGCTCGTTTGATGAGTAAGGTTCTCAAATGAGATTGCTAGTCGATCTGGTCTTCCTTAAAAGAGAGGAAATAGGCAAAGTCTCAACATTGGCAGAATTAACACTTGAACTGGATTGGATTCCAGAAGCACCAATGCCTGAATCTACATATCGCTTGGTTTCCTTCAATCCTGACATAAATAAGAATAGACAACGGAGAGAAGTCATTTTAACAATTAGATAATTAAAACAATAATAAATACGCAAAAACTTACCCAAACGTTTTGGTTGAAGTTTACCAGCGTAAGTTGAGACAATAAAAAGCAACAAAATATAAAAAGAAATGTTCATTTTTGATTTTCTTCAATCGTATTGATCTAAATAAAGAAGACAGATAATTTAGTTTCATTGCCATCAACATTTAATACTCTTTAAGATTCCAGTTGATCAATCTGATCATCTTGTCTAGTCAATATTTATTGAACAATTTACTAATAATGAAGACCATCTTTACTGTGAATCTGCTCATTTTCATTGACATCTTTAAAGATCTTTGACTTGAAGCACAACTCTCAATACAAGAACGAGTTCCATCTGGTATTGCTTAGTATATCGCAGCAAAAGTTGTATTATTTCAGTGTTATCATAACTATCAATAATTAACCCATGATAAGATAATTCGCTGAATAGTAGCCAGAATAGTTTATTTTATTTTGCAACTCTTACCATTTGACGATGGTTAGTTCATTAACAGTTTAAGTCTTTTAAATGTGGATCGAATGTATTGTATTCAGAAAAAAAATTTACAATCAGTCATGATCGGAGGTCCACTTGTCATCAATAAAAAATGGTTAGCTAGTTATTTAAAAAATGAATCTTTCAGATTCTTCATTCCATTATCGACAACAAAAATACTTTTCTCTTTACAAATCATATAAACTTTTATGACTTCAGTTTTTAAAGCCTTTTGCCCATCTTTGAGCAGCCAAAGAAGTCAAATTCATTTTCTTGATCAATGACCAAGGGTCGACGAATAGCTGTTTGAGTCATTGGTTGACGACAATACTTTTGTCTTCCATGGTTAGCATTTGGTATGTTGGTAACTCACATCGTTCAGGTGCGCTGCAAGGAAGTGGATTAGTGCCTTTATAAAGTAGTTGCTAAAACTGTGAAAATATGTAAATGACATTAACCTCAATATTGCTTAATGTGTTTAGAGCATCGATATTGAAAAACACCAAATTATTTATCATTCACTGTTTATATCAAGCCAGTGCATATTTAATTTTGATATTCACCAAAAGCATTGGCTTCTCCGATGCTATTGTAATGTCATTTGATGATTCTAACAATATTGAAGTGAACTGTTTATTTTTTCTGATCCCATTATAATTGATCGGGTAAATAAATGGCAGAAACGGGAAAATCATGTAATCTTTAAGTTACTTTAATAGATCAAATTATAATTTGGATTACCATTTGATAAATTTTAAAGTTATATTTATGATGATACAAATATATTCCGTTTGTATAGAAAGATAAACCGGGAACAAAATAAAAGAAAAGGACGTTTAATTTATCGAATTGATTCCTTAATTGCTGCACTTGGTTGGTGAATCGTAAGTATAAGTTTCAGTCTTGTCACGACCCATAAATTCAGAAAGCATTCGTTTTTTAGCTTCTTTGACCAAAAGAATGGCAAGTGGATCTGAACTCTTATCCAGACAAACCAGATCAACCTGCTGGGATTCAGTTTGTGAAGCATTTTCGTTATCAGCACACATCCTTACAGGAAACTTAGAGAAACAATTTTCCCTTTCTCGTTGGATGACTAAGGTTCTAAAACCAGGATCGGTAATCGATCTGGTTTTCCTTACATTAGCAGAGCCAACACTTGAACTGGATTGGATTCCAGAAGCACCAATGTTAGAATTTACAGGTCGCTTGGGTTCCTTCAATTCTGATATAAATAAGAATAGACAATGGAGAGAAGTCATTTTAACAATTAGATAATTAAACAATAATAATTCATATAATATTTTAATGATAATTAATAAACAAAAACTTACTCGGAAGTTTTGGTTGAAGTTTACCAGCATAAGTTGAGACAACAAAAAGCAACAAAATATAAAAAGAAATGTTCATTTTTGATTTTCTTCAATCGTATTGATCCAAATAAAGAAGACTGATAATTTAGTTTCATTGCCATCAACATTTTATACTCTTTAAGATTCCAGTTAATCAATCTGATCATCTTTTTCAGTCAATATTTATTGAACAATTTACTGTTAATGAAGACCATCTTCACTGTGACTCTGCCCATTTTCATTGACATCTCTAAGCACATCTCTTTGACTTGAAGCACAACTCTTAATACAAGAACGAGTTTCATCTGGTCTCAACTCATATCAAAGTTGAAGGACCTTTGTGTTATTTCAGTATCGTTAAAGATATCAGTATTTAACCCATGAGAAGATATTTCGCTGAATAGTAGTCTGAATGGCAAACAGTTGGCTAACTGGACCAAAACGATATATGAAGAAGAGAGTGGAACATAAAACCAAATTATATAACAAAAACACAAATGGATAACCAAAGTTCTTGCAAGCAAAGGTGAATGTATTTTCTCATCTTATCTATTCTTTCTGTTTATGTTATAATTTTAACTTATAAATTCGCAACTTGTTAGATTAATTTGTGTGAAGTATCTACTTACATATTAATACATAACGTAATACATCTTTACCATACATATTTGCGCAAAAATTGTGGTTAAACGGAAAAAGCTCTAAAACAAATTTTATGACAAAATGATTTGACTGCAGTGGCATTAAATAGGTTGAGCTTTCTAGGAATTCAGGATCATGAGAAAACCATGTTCTAACAGGATTAAGGAAAAACAGAATCCGTATTATAAAGCAATGTAAAAGGGTAAAAATTACTTTGCTAAGTTGTATGTTGTTATGGTTTATCGTTAGGTGATTAAAAAGTGCAAAAGCTATGGCTTTAGAAAGTTGCGACCCGATACACTTTTCGGGACACAGAAACTGAACCTATTTGGGCGATTTAAAAATTTATCTGGTTGACGGTTTTGATAAAATTGCTTTGAGATTTCGCCGTTCGATTTGCTTCATGTTCAGTTGTGTTGCTACCAGATTTTATTTTGGCTGGTTAGTTCATTAATAATTTAAGTCTTTTAAATGTGGATCGAATGTATTGTATTCAGAAAAAAATTTACAATCAGTCATGATCGGAGGTCCATTAGCCAATATTAATTAATAAAAAATTGTTAGCTAGTTATCATAATTATGATAACAAGCTGAGCCCCCGATCATGGCTGATCGTAAATTTCTTTTCACTGAATACAATAAATTGAATCCACATTTAAAGACTCGAATGGTTGATGAAAAATCATTGTCTATGAGAAAAACTAAAAAATTTTCGTTGATTTTGAGAGTTGTACAGTTGAAGCACCAGATATTTAACTTACTCTTTGCTTGAAAGACAGTTTTACATATACTCCTAACCCAACAATAAACCATCAATCTGAATACAAAAAAGTTTTTCCCTCAAAGTCAATAGTAAAAGATACGGATTCTGCGTTTTTTCCCCCACCCTGTTTGAGCGCTAATTTCTCAGTAACCTGAATTCCGAGAAAGCTTTGACTATTTTTCGTAATTGAAGTTCAATCAGGGCTTTCATTTTATGTAAAAAATTTCTTTAGAACCCGTTTAGTTTGGTCACAATCTTCCCGCAAAAATTTCATAGTTTGACTTTATATATTGTATAGATGTATAGATGTATAGATTGTGATAATCAAAATAATGAAAAATGGAAAAGGTCTTTTCACTGATCGAGTCTCTAGGCTTCATCCGAATCAATACGTATCACAGTTACTGAGAAAAAGCGAAAAATATGCTGTACATGACTTTTGCCACACCCGGTATATGTTAAATATTGTCGATTTGTTGAGAGCATATTAAAATTGGCAGACTTGAGAATCTTATCCAATCAATTGACAGGCTTATTTACCGTATTTCCGCACAAAGAAGGCCAGAGCTTATTTATCGAAATCTTCACTAATTAGCCCTTGGGATTCCCCTTTAAATTAGCCCTAAAGGCTATAACTCTATTGAAAAAAACTGGGGCTTCTTCAAATAGAGTAAAAAGGGCTAATTAGTGAAGATTTCATAAAATAAGCTCTGGCCTTCTTTGTGCGGAAACACGGTAATCGTCGAAAACATTAAATCATTTACTGAACATTATTTGTCTCATGTTCATCAATCCAAACCAAACCAATATTTAATTTTGATATTCACCAAAAGCATTGGCTTCTTTGATGCTATTGTAATTTCATTTGATGTTGATAGCAAAATTGATGCGAGTAGTTTATTTTTGCTGATTTCACAATGTCATTATATTAGGTGATCCAATAAATTCGTATAAAAATTATGTTCTCGAAGACTCAGAACTTTTATTTTTTGGATTATAAATATTCAGGCCAGAAAGGCTACATATACAAGTTACCAGATCTTTGAGTTCATCACGATGTCGAAAAACGAGCTTAAGAAAAACGATCCCGTTTTTTGCTTTTCGGCATTAAAAAGATGTCCTATGAAGTGATCTTTTAAGATATGCAGATGAAAAGTAGCCTGAATAAGCCTGCATAAGTTGGCTCGACAGAGCATCAACAAAATTTTAGAATGAATTCACACATACTGCCGCATTGGCGGTTACGATGCGAAAACTTGCGAAAAGCCCATTTTCTCTTACGGAAGACATATTTTCGGCTTATTCTCTAGCCCAGAGTGTAGAGTGTAAAATATCATGAATGATACTGATTGATAGATAAAAGTCAGACGTAAGTCGCTGCGAAGTAACTCGGACGATACCTACATGATTCATCAGATATGAGCAGAAATTCAAATATAGAAAATTTTTTGAAGTCTTTTCGAAAGTGACCTATTTGCTGTGTTGGTGATGCGATGTTTCGATATTTTTTTATACTAAATAAGTGCTGAAGAGTTCATTTACAATTACCACAAACGGATTCAAATTCGATCATAACGGTCGCAAATTATAACCCTTTTTTGTCAGAAAACTTCATCACAGTGCTGTATGAAATAATTTTTTTTGACCTTGAATGGCAATAACTTTTGAAAGAATTTGAATAAAATTACGAAACTTTCCCAACTTGACCTTCGATATTGTCTTTATGGATTCGATTTGTAAACCTGATTCAGAAAAAACGGGAACTAACTTTTTATACGAATTTATTGGACCGCCTAATAATTAGTTGGATGAATGAATTGTAGAGAGGAATTGGGCGAAGTCTTGTGATCTTTTAATTACTTTATTTGATCAAACCGTTATTCGAATGCATTAATACTTTCATTCCTAAATTAAAAGCTAAATTTATGATGATACAAATTGAGTCGAGTCCCTGAAATTGTCGGTTCCTAAAACTGTCCATCCGATATCAGCACCATCTCTTATAAATAAAAAACCATAATTTTGAATTGAATTGTGTTTTGATTAGTAATTGTTATTATTGCCTTTCGAATGTCATTTGGTCTCGTACAACTGATGGACAATTTCAGGGACTCGACTGTATATGCAGTTTGTCTGGGCAGAACAACAAGAAGAACAAAACAGAACAAAACAGAACAAAAGAAGGAAAAGAGCGTTTAATTTCCCGAATTGATGCCTTAATTGCTGCACTTGGTTGGTTGATGGTAAGTATAAGTTTCCGTCTTGTAAAGATCAATAACTTCAGTAACGATCCGTTTTTTAGATTCTTCAGCCAAAATTTGAACAAATGCATGTCGGTTCTTTTCTATGCAAACCAATTCAACCTCCTTGGATTCAGTTTGCAAAGCATTTTCGCCTGGATTGCACATCTTTACAGGGTACTTAGAGAAACAGGTTTCACTTCTTCGTTGGATGACTAAGGTTCTAAAACTAGAATTGGTAATCGATCTGGTCTTCCTTACAAGAGAGGAAATGGGCGAAGTCTCAACATTAGCAGAGTTGACACTTGAACTGGATTGGATTCCAGAAACATCAATGCCTGAATCTACATGTCGCTTGGTTTCCTTCAATTCTGATATAAATAAGAATAGTCAATGTAGAGAAATTATTTCAAAAATTTGAGAATTAAAAAATGGTAAAACAAATAAAAACTTACCTAAAAGTTTCGGTTGAAGTTTACCAGCGTAAGTTGAGACAACAAAACGTAACAAAATATAAAAAGAAATGTTCATTTTTGAGTTTCTTCAATCGTATTGATCCAAATAAAAAATACTGATAATTTAGTTTCATTGCCATCAACATTTTATACTATTTAAGATTCCAGTTAATCAATCTGGTCATCTTTTTTAGTCAATATTTATTGACCAATTCACTGTTAATGAAGACCATCTTCACTGTGACTCTGCCCATTTTCATTACCATCTCTAAGGTTGTTGTTATGGTTTATTGTTGGTTGATTAAAAAGGGCAAAAGCTATGGCTTTAGAGAGTTGCGACCTGATACACTTTTCGGAATATAAGGACTGCATCTATCCGGGAAATTAATTCATTTAATCAAATTATTATTTGAATGGATTAATTTTAAAGTTGTATTCATGATGTAACAAATATATTGAATTGATGTCTCAATTGCTGCACTTGGTTGGTGAATCGTAAGTTTTAGTCTTTTCAAGATCCATAGCTTCAGTAATGATACGTTTTTCAACTTGTCTAGTCCAATAATGGACAACTGGGTCTGAGTTCTTAGTCAAACAAACCAAATCAATCTGTCTAAATTCAGTTTGTTAAGCATTTTCACCTGGTTCGCACATTAAGAGCTTAATCAACACAGGATGATATATATTTGTATGTTTTTCTTGGTGTTAATTGCTAAATTGTTAAATCATCTTTTTATCATTTTACCTCCCATTGATCTGAGTACAGTTCACATCAAGAAACCGAAAGATATAACAAAAATATGTATAATTTTATAAGATTCTCAGATTTTTGCTGACCTTCTATGGAATAACTTTTCACCTTTTCTCTTTCTGAAAAAAGAATTCATTTAAAGAAGCTTTTGGTTCAATCCAAAGCGATACAACTTGAGCTGCAAAGTCTTTGGTTCCTCGAATTGATCTCTTTTTTGTTGTATTCAGTTTGTTAGTTGTATGCAGCATAAATTTCAATTTTACAAAGGGAATCGAGTTCATAGAGTTACACCACTTTCAGTTTACTTAGCCCATGATCTTTCACTATACAAACCAGGCCAAGTTCAGTGGATTCAGTTTTTGTAGCCGCTTCATCCTGTTTGGCTACCGGTTGAATATTGCTAGAGAAACAAGATTTATTTACTCGCTTGATGACCAAGTGACCAGCAACAAGAACGCTGATTGGTCCGGGATTTTTTATAATAGAGGTAATGGGTTAAGTCGTGTAATCTTTAGATAGTTTTATTTGGTCAAATTATTAATTGAATGGATTAATATTTTTTAAAGTTATATTCATGATAAAATAAATATATTCAGTGTGTCTCGAAAGACCAGCCGTGAAAAAAAAGAAGGGAAAGAACGTTTAATTTCTCGAATTGATTCCTTAACTGCTGCACTTGCTTGGTGAACTGTGAGTATAAGTTTCAGTCTTGGCGAGATCCATAACCTCAGTAATGACATGCTTTTCAAATTCATTAGACCGATGTTGGACAAACGGCTGTGAGTCCTTAGCCAGACAAATCAAATCAACCTGTCTAGTTTCAGTTTGCAAAGCCTTTTCCTTTGGATCGCACATATATACAGGAAACTTGGAGAAACAGATCCATCTTTCTCGTTGGATGACTAAGGTTCTATACGAAGGATTTCTGGTCGATCTGGTCTCCATTAAATTAGCAGAGTTAACAGTTGATTGGATTCCAGTAACATCAATGCCAGAATCTACATGTTCCTTGGCTTCCTTCAATTCTGACATAAATAAGGTTGAAAATGAAGAGAAATCATTTTAACAATTAGATAATTTAAACAATAGTAATTAATAAACACTTACCCAAAGGTTTTGCTTGAAGTTTACCAGCATAAGTTGAGACAATAAAAAGCAACAAAATATAAAAAGAAATGTTCATTTTTGATTTTCTTCAATCGTGTTGATCTAAATAAAGAAGACTGATAATTTAGTTTCATTGCCATCAACATTATATACTCTTTAAGATTCACCTAATCGCTCTGACCATCTTGTTCAGTCGATATTTATTGAACAATTGAAATTAATATAATAAGTGATCTTCACTTATTTTATCACATCTCTTTGGATCTACGATTCAGCTGAATTACATCTTGTAATACAATCAGGTATCAGCCCAGTAAATGTTGGGAAATAAGTATTTGAGTGTTTACAGTTTTCATCAAAACAACTCATATTAAATAATATATCATGAATCATGATATAATTTGCTCGATGCTAGACAGCATTTTTAATTGAACGTAAACGTTAGTGGTAGAGCTTGTTAGGTAAAAGCTCAACATAAAGTCAAATACATCGTAATAAAGACATACTATGTATATGGACTTGAGCAAGAGTACAAGAACACATTTTCCTAAGAATAGTGTTTTAGGCTGAGTTGAAAGTTCGAAAAATCACGCGGAAGCTTATTCGTCTGCACTTTATTTGGTATAATTTGCATTTTCAATCTCAAATTATTTGATTGTAACTAAAATGCGACATTGACCTTGATTCAGATGATAAATTGAAATAGTTACCGATAAACATGATTGAATCATAAATACAAGTGTTTGTAATTGAATAGACACTCACCTTAAACGCGTTATTAACGTTATTAATAACTTTGTATTAATAATAACAATTACATAAGATGTGATCACTTGAGCAAAACAAGAAATCGCTTATTCAATGTTTCATTTATGTCTGAAAACCTTGCACTTTTTACGCTCGACACCTGAGAATATTTTATTCATTCATATTTTCAGAGTTTTGCATGTATGATTAAAATGAAATCATAATTTTCAAAATCAAAAGTCTGGTAAATCAAATTTTCCTGTAATTGCAAACATCTGAAATATTAGTTGCAAATTCCGATAACAGAGATTAATTAGTATAATAGTTTGGAACTACTGATTTCTAAAGTTTCATCAGTTTGAATATAAGCATGAAAATTCAATATAAAATAGTGATTTGATAGCAAAGTGTTTGCTGAAAAATTACCAAAAAAACAATAATAAGACTCAAATCATTGAACTTTTATTTCAACAATGTTCCCATTGCCTTAAAGGTTGTTGTGTGTCATTCCTGCCAATTGTCTTATCTGAATGGTTAAGTGTAGTCCAAGCAATGATAAGGGTTAAGATTTCATTGGCAGGACTACACTTAACACTCTTTAGAATCCCCGAGATGACCTAGACTCATGAACTTTATGGTCAAGATAGTTTCGATACACAATCATAACTCATCATCTCTGATATTGCACTAGACATTGCTGTTCAAGGTATAAATCTTAATTAGACAAAGATCAAGAATACTGTAATTTTAGATTAGTCTAGCTGTAAGTAATAATTTTGATGAAGACCTGTTCAACTCAAATATGGCAAGCAATCATAAAAGTTAATAAATTGAATGTTGATTGTTATGTTTTAACGGAAAAAAGATTGGATTCGTCATTGAATCGCAACCTTTGACTTGACAATAGGATTACTCAAATTTTTAAGTAAAATTTACTTAATTTGAAATCATTTTTGGTGCATCCATTGTATAAATCTAGAAACTACTTGAATTATCACACCAATCACTTCATTTGAATAGAGAATGATTTGTTTAAAGCTTTTTTAATGCTCGAATATTCCAATTGTAATGTAGCTTTCGGTTTAAGATCAATTTTACAATCAATATCAATGATCAGTATTCATGAGCATGTAAACATGTTGGTTTTGAAGGAGTAACAGTGAAAAAAGCGAAAGAAAAACACATTTAATTCCTCGAATTGATTCATGATTTGCTGCACTCGGTTGGTGAATTGTATGCATAAGTTTCAGTTCTGTCAAGAGAAGCAAGTTCAGTGATTACACGACTATCAACTTCAGTAATCAATTTTTCGTAAAGTGGATGTTGATTCTTTCCGAAACAAACCAAATCAATCTCCTTTGTTTCAGTTTTTGTTGCTGTTTCACCTTGTTTGCACACCAATTTAGGATACTTTGAGAAACAGATTTCATTGTCACGTCGAAACACCAAGGTTCGAAGATAAGGACTTCTCAGCGATCTGGTCTTCCTTATAAAAGAGGCAATTGGTAAAGGCACAACTTTAGTCTTCAATTGGGTTGTAGAGTCAAGACTTGAATGGATTCCAGAAGCATCAATGCTAGAGTACTCATTCACATATCGCTTGGTTTCCTTTAATCCTGACACAAAGAAGAATAGAAAATCAAGAGAAATCATTCAGCAATTAGATAACTGAAACATTATTAATTAATAAACAAAAACTTACCCAAAGGTTTTGGTTGAAGTTTGCTAGCGCAAGTTGAGGCAACAAAAAGCAACAAAATATAAAAAGAAATGTTCATTTTTGAGTTTCTTCGATTGATCCAAGAAGACTGATGATTTAATGTCATTGCCACCAACTTTTTATACTTTTTGATATCCAACCTAATCAATCTGTTCATCTCGTTTAGTCAATATTTATTGAACAATTCACTGTTAATGAAGACCAACAACAAGCACGTTTTCATTACCATCTCTAAGGATCTTTGACTTGAAGCATAACTCATGCTTCAAGAGCGTCTTCAATCTGGTATCATATCACAGCAAAAGTTGAAAAACCTTTGTGATATTCAGTGTTATCATAACAATTAATATTTAAGTTGAGGCAACAGAAAGCAACAAAATATGTACAGAAATGTTCATTTTTGATTTTCCTCAATCGTATTGGTCTAAATAAAGAAGACTGATTATTTAATTGATTGGCATCAACATTTTATACTCTTAAAGATCCAATCTAATCAATCTGATCGTTTTGTTAAGTCAATATTTGCCCACTCCCTTTACATTCATACCAACCACGCCAATGAGACAGCTTTACATTTTTATCAAATCTCTTATTTATTAAAATATTTCAAGTACTGTAAAGCCAGACTTGAGTTAACAAAAAAGGTCATAGTTAAGTTAATTTTAGGTGTCGGTATCTCGAGCATATTTAGTTTGTAGAGATAAAAACAATGCAATAGGAAACTGAACATAATTTTGATCTTATTGGTACTTATTGATGATTGTATCAGACTGATTAAGATTACGTGAACATGATTTTCAGGTTTCCTCTGATGTGATTTTGCTGTTATAGTCTATGAATGATCTCTTTTTAGCAGCAAATTTAAATCCATGAATCACCAGCAAACGCATAACGAATACTGCTGCTCCCAATCCGATTGCTAAATTAGAATTGCTTGATTCCTTTGGTGCTGATAATTCTGCTGAATGTGGATCAGTTTTACTCTTTCCTGTAATCTTCTTATGATTTATGTAAATTGAACAAATTTTGTTGTCATCTTTTACTTCATCAAATAGTTTAGGTTCGTTAACCTTATCTGGTTTCAAGTTGGTCAATGAACAACTCGACAATGAAAAACTACTATCGGACATTTTCTTATAATTAGTTGTTTCACAAAATTCAAGAGTAAAACAATTGGGATCTGTATTGCATTTGGAAGCACAGTGTTCTAATGATAGATGGTCAAAGGTTCCAACAATTGATTCTTTCATGTTATCTTTCAATGAAAGTCCAACTTTGTGTTCATAATCAAGTTCAGATTTTTCTGTAAAAGTGAAAAGATTGAATAATTAGTAAATATTGACCAAATTTCAAATGAATGTTAGGTTAAAGTAAAGGTTTTTACTTGAATAATGGGAACATCCAGCTTCAGCCACCTTCCAGTTTGTTGCATTTATTTGATGAGCTTTGTCTATTTCAATGTGGTTAACATGTAAGAAGCAAACAGATTCATTTCTAGAAGGAATTGGGATAAAAAATGAAAATTGATTAAACCTATTCATAGATGAATACACAATAATATTACAATAACTGAACAATTTATGATTTGCATTCAAGTTCATTATTCACATGAGGTATTAAACATTTTAAGGTTAGTCTAGGTTTCGACTTACCTTTGATAGTTATCTTGGCAATAATCAAATGATTCACAAGTGAAATCATTTGATTGAGCACATTTTTTAGCACAGTCACCAATTGGTACATTAGATGTGGTTGAGACGGCATCTAGAACTAGACTTTTGCCAGGATACTCATGGAATAGATTGATGAATGATTCTATTGAAATTGAAGAGCAAAATTAGTATATGAAATGAAAATTAATGTGACAATAGATTTACTTTGATAGATGTTACATCCATCTGCATGGCTTGTCTTTTCTTCAAGTTTTTCCCCCAATGAACTTAATGTTTCTCCACTCAGAATACATTCCTTGTTCTGATTGATGCAATATGAAATTGTATTACATTCATCATCATTCAAGCAAGCCATGAAACAATTTTGAAGAGAGCCTTTCTCTATCTTGAACTGTGCTTCCTTGAAATGACGATCAGATTTAATCATCGGAAAATCTTCAGTTCTTAAAGGTCTAAAGGAACCACGTCTATGGAGTTCCTGGGAAATGTCACCAATCTCGTCAGGTCCATTCACAACGAACAAATCTTCAAAGCCTCTTCCGTTAGTCGAGACTTGAATCCTTATCTGTTGCAACACGTGTGGTATTGTCGACAAATAATTTGCTCTTACCAATGGTGAAACATCGACCGATGAATGTCTGGAATAAAATTTGCAGTCCTTCTTGTATTCTGTTTCTACAAAATCATAAATATTTGTTTTTGTGTAAATTGAACAGTCATAATCTGAAGAATAACTAAAATCGAAACAATCTGCCGTTGAACTGCACAGTTGCTCACAGTCCTCGACTTTAAACCTTTTTACGATATTTGAAGGATTGCTTATTGTATAATCATTCGAACGACGATAGCATCAATGAAATGTACTCGATCATGCAGCTTAATGG